GTGGCAAACGAGCGACCGGCCACCTGAAATCGCTGAAATAGCGAAGTGACCGTCCATAGACATACGCAATTGCATATGCGTTGCCTATCTTTAATCGATGGAGGAGAGGATGCACAGAAAGAAAATATTTTCCCTTCCCATGCATCCTCTCATCCGGAAAGTCCACTTCAACTTCCCATCCTTTCCTTATAATGAAAAGTGTGGGAAGGGAAAGAGGACTAAATTAGGCCTCCGCGACGCACACTCATCAGACGAAACGCGGAATTGCTTCCACTTCACGCCTGTCTTCTGTGTGCTCGTGGTATTTCACCGGGCGAGCCGGGCCGATTCGTGCGAAGATGTTAAAGCGGGCTCTACCACTGTTAAAAGTTACCACTAAAAAAAGTTTTTTTTTATAATACAAGATATTCAAGTGAACTAAAAGCTATCGCCAGAATAGCGAAGTACATTCATATACATTTAATTGTCGCGTTAATTCGCAACAATGATTGTATAATACGATTGAAACGTATACCAATTAGGAGGATGAGTTATATTAAGTTTAGAGCGACTACGCCGATAATGCCTTATATGTTAGTAAGACTAAAACTATAATAAAAAATACTATAAGTTGGATTGACCAAACCAATATCTTATATCTTTAAATGAGCAATTCTTCTATATATATGTAATTGGAATCTTGAAATCGGTTCCAACGATTTTCATAAAATTTAGTATATAGGGGGTTTCGGGGGCGATAAATCGATCTAGCTAGGAATCATTTTTAGAAAATGTCATTTTATTCGTGTTTTATCGATAATCAACTTAAACATAAACTTAACTTTTTCTATCTGTAAGATCGAAAAATATTATTCATATTTCATAATTTTATTAGTAATTCGTACTTAAATATGATTTCCAAAAAACACAATTAAAAAAAAAACCGAGCAAAGCTCGGTCATCCGGGTACTTTTCTTTAAAATTAATCGTTTCGTTCAAATATGTGTGATATTCAACCATGTTGACGTCTAATTATCACCGGCTGTCAAAGGGTTAAAACACATGTTAAACTAAACGGTGTCTTATTATATTTTTTTGAGTATTATAATAAGGCTTTCGATTTGAATACTTCCATTATTCTAACTTGCGTATAAACCTCACCAGTTGGTATTTATATTTTAAGTAAACAATTTAATGATAAACAAAAAAAACTGGAATATCCATAATATTTCCTAATATGTTATTAATTATCAACATCTACACAAATTTTGTTTCCCGCTATATCATCCAAATAACAAGGAAATAAAATTAAGTAAATTCTGGTTCCATTCGTTTTAACTTCCGTCTTTTAACTAAATCCACAATTTGAAACAAGTTTGCGCGTAAATTGTAAACATTTGAAGATAGAAAAAGAGGTTAGTTCTTGTTTTGTTTGATAGAAAAGTAATTTGTGTCTTAGTAGTTGAAGCCTGCGGCTTTGTTCGTGTGGTTTTAAAAGAAAAGAGAAATAGGAAACCGTTGCTTTTTGAAACAAAAATCTATATATAGAACAGAACAGAATAGGACAGGAGTCAGGGGCGACCGCTAGTTTAATATAAAATAAACATTCAATAATGCGTCCCGGAGGCCCAACAGTGGTAGAGCCCGCTTTAACATCTTCGCACGAATTGGGCCGGCTCGCCCGGTGAAATACCACGACCACACAGAAGACAGGCGTCAAGTGGAAGCTATTCCGCTTACAGTCTGATGAGTGTGCATTCCCGAGGCCTAATTTAGTCTTCTTTCCTACCCACCTTTTTCTTATTAGGAAAAGATGGGAATTGGAAGTGGACTTTCCGGATGAGAGGATGCATGGATAGGGAAAATATTTTCTTTCTGTGCATCCTCTCCTCCGTCGATTAAAGGTAGACAACGCATATACAATTGCGTATATCTACGGGCAACGGTCACTTCGCTATTTCATCGATTTCAGGTGGCCGCTCGCTCGTTTGCCACCTTTTGATATTTAAAAAAAAGTAACACAATATGACAAAAGGCGGCTGCCTGTCCCCGCATGCTCATCAATGGAGGAACGGCCAAGACCATTCCCGCTATGATTTTCAGCTAGTCTCGTTACACAAGTGCATACTAGTTACGTACTTAGGTGGTAATATATCGACATACCTGTTTAAATTTGACAAAAAGTAGCTTTATGTTTCAAACGGCGTAGTTCTCAGAAACCCACGATAATGCAATTATTACTTTTGGAAAGTGTTTTTGTAAATCTTAATAATATCTATTATGTTTATTCAACAAAATAACAGCATCAAACAAAAACATAACAATTCACTAAATTTGTAATTCAAATTAGTAATATCTTTTACAATGAAAACCATTATTTACGTTTTGGTTCAACTTAAATTACAATAATCACGCATAGATCAAGAAACACTTTAACGTGGAATTGCATTGGCAAATCATCTCAAGATATATATCATCTCTTTCATTCTTATTGAAAAACAGAGATAACAATATTATAAAATTATGTAATGGCCAAAAAAGGCGTTATTTCATTTAACTTTATTCCCCTTTCTATTCTTTCTTGTGATTTGTTAATACGAAAATTGAATCCATCTACATAAGTCTTTTCTATATCGCCAACTATCTTACTAATATTATAAATGCGAAAGTTTCAATTTATGGTATGTTTGTTAGAAGTTATCTTCAGAACGGCTGCAAAGATCTCGATGAAATTTGGCCATAGGCTACAAAGTTTTTTTAAAGCCGCGCGGACAGTCTCGAGGCGATAGCTATTCTTACTAATATTATAAACTAGCTGAAATGCGTATGTTAAGATGGATGTGTGGTGTGACAAGGAAGGATAAAGTTAAAAATGTGTATATTAGAGGAAGTTTGAAAGTAGCGCCAGTGATCGAGAAATTGACGAGTAAAAGATTAGCGTGGTTTGGACATGTTATGAGGAGGGATGATGATGATATAAGCAAAAAAGTAATGAGATTGATTGAATGTGGATGGCTACAAGGGTAGAGGAAGACCAAAAAAGTATGGAATGACTGTGTGAAAGAGGATATGCGTAAGAAGGGGGTAGACTCGGATATGACGGCTGACAGAGATGTATGGAGGAGTAGTACATGCTGTGCCGTGCATAGGGATAAGGGCAGGTTGATGATGGTATGTTTGTAAAAGTTATCCTCAGAACGGCTGCAAAGATCTCGATGAAATTTGACATAAATGTAGAATAAGTTTGGAACCATAGGCTATTAATTACGTTTTTTTAATGCCGCGCGGACTGTGTGGAGGCGTCAGCTAGTGATCATTTTTAAGGTTATGTTTGTCTAATATTTTCTATTATATTCTAATACAAATATTACATGAATATTTAATAATAAAAGCAACCATCTCATTAAGATCTATTGTTTTTCTATTACCGACATCAATATTAATTCTTTAGCGCGTTGTTTTAGCATTACAAGTAGTGACAACTAAATTGTGGATAAATGCGATTGCACGATTTAATTTAGAAGCTTCGGGAAAATGTTCTAGAATATTCGAATAGAGTTCGAACTAATGCCAGTGTAATAATAGAGTGATATTATTTACTCATTAAAAAATATATACTTTTTAAGTACAAGTATTTAGCACCATCGTTGATCGTTGTTTAAAAAGTTTGATGTCTACTAAAGTAATACGGAAACTTGTAATAAAAACTACACTTCTTTCATCTATATACATATAAAAGAAAGTCGTGTTAGTTACACTATTTATAACTCAAGAACGGCTTTACCGATATCGTTGAAAATTGGTGAGGAGGTAGCTGAGAGCCAGGAGACGGACATAGGATACAATTTTTTTTCGAATTTATACCTTGAAGGGCACCTTTTTTAACTTATCTATATATTAAGTTTTTTTTATATCCACGCGGATAGAGTTGCGGGCGACAGCTAGTATTTCTTAAAAACTTAACGAAACCTTTTTAGTGATACGCGAAAAAAACGCTTTAATTCTTTACACCAGAGACATTCATAAATAGAATAGGATAGTCGCGCTTAGGAGCATATTTAAATGGAATCATACATAGAACTAAACCTAATAATAATTTTTGTATACTTCGGTATTCTATGCATCCTAGTCCACACTATTTTAATAGTCTGTTAAATATTAATTTTAAAAGACATTATGAGATGTACATTGCCACATCGTCTCGGACTAAAAACAATGACTCTAACTCTAATTAGCCAATTTGAGTAAAATTAATGCCGGATTTTGTAATCACTTAGCATAGCTCATGGGTTAAGTTATACACTTCGCGTTAAGTAGATCTTCATTGTATATAATTGGCCACTTAACATCTTTGCCGTGTCTTACGGTTTTTGACTTAATTACTACTTAATTTGAGTTTTAATAAACTAGCCAAAGGTAGCATACAATGTATTAATACTCGTAACAAAGTTAAAAGTAAAATTTATATCTTTAGGAAATAAAAATCTTTACAATTAATTAGGCTAACCTCTTTTTCCGGTTTTTGATCTCGCTAAAGGAATCGTGGTCATCGGGAATTAGAAGTTAAGTTTTCTAGAAATTTTGAATATAAAAATAGGTGATTGACTCGGTTAAGTAACTCGATGTAGCGTTGATGCGTGATGTAAATAATCAATCGTGAAGATTTACTCTAACGTGTATCTTCTAATTACTATTTAACCCACCTCATTTTATCGTGCTTCGTTCCAATAAAGCAAACACTAATTCCACGAACTGATATTGAATTTAAAAAAAAACTGCAGTTTCGTGCTCAGACCTCCGTGCACATTAGATTCATAATTACACTCGCAACATGAATAAATAATTAAACATCTGTTGCGAGTGCTCCCGATTCGGCTGCGCCGGAGCAAATAGCTCCTCGGTTTGAATTACGAATGTGTTGAATTAAACGTCCCGCCGTCTGCAATGTCATCTCGATACACGTTTCCGAACAGCTTTTACTGCGACCTGCGAGTTGCCTGCGAGCGGCACATCCAGCCGATATTATAAAGCGGCGGAATATTCGCCGCGCGCCCTCAGTCACCGCCGCGCTACCGAGCGAATCGCACGCTCTTGTAATGCAATAGTGGCAAACGCACGCGACGACGACATGGAGGGCATACCTCCGAGCCACGCACAGGAACCCGATGAGGGCATCGCCTCCGACCGTCGCCCGTCCACCGACGATCACGCCGACCTATCCGACACCGCCTCCGAAGCGGGTTCCGGCGGGGGCAAGGACTCCGGCTGCGAAGTCGCGCCCGACGCCCAGGAGCCACCCTACACCCCGCCCGATGAAGAGCTCGCCAACAGGATCGTGTCCCAAGTGGAGTTCTACTTCAGTGACGCCAATATCACCAAGGACGCTTTCCTACTCAAGCACGTCAGACGGAACAAGGAAGGGTACGTCTCCCTCAAGCTCATATCGAGTTTTAAACGCGTCAAGCATTTGACCAAGGACTGGAGGGTGGTCGCCGAAGCCCTGAAGAGATCAACTAAATTAGAGATTAACGATCTGGGAACTAAGTTACGACGTATCGATCCCCTGCCCCCGTACGATGAGACCACGCCGTCGAGGACGGTCGTCGCCGTCCGGATGCCGATAGACAAACCCTCGGTCGAGAACGTATCGAGGCTGTTCGCGAGCTGCGGGGAGATCGCGCTGGTGCGTGTGCTGCGCCCCGGTAACCCAGTGCCCGCCGACGTCAGGCAGTTTCTCAACAAGAACCCGAGTTTGGTGAACTGTGTGTGTGCGCTAGTAGAGTTCACCGAGTCAGAGGCAGCGAGGGGAGCGCTCAGGCTCCAGAGTCAGGACGAGGAGGGCATGAAGGTATACGAGCTGAACGGCGTACCACGGGAGCCGAAACGCAAGGTTCCGGTGCGACGGACGCCTACGCGCCGTCACGAGTGCGAATACTCCTCATGCTGCAGCGGCTCTGAGGCGGAGTACGACTACAGATACGCGAACCCGTTCTACAGGAGGAACTCGAGCGGGTTCTTCGCACCGCGGTCGCCGGAAATCCAGACGTGGGTGCCACGGCGGCAGTCGACGTGCAGTCACAGCTCGGACTCGGGCGTGTCCTTCTTCTGCGGGTCTAGGCGCGCGTCCCAGGCGAGCACAGGCAGTGCCAGCAGCGCCGAGGGGTGGCTGGCGCGCCGGTTGTCGGGCTGCTCCCTGTCTGGGGCGGAATGTGGCGGCCGCCGCATGTCATGCACGCCGCGCTTCGAACCGCGCTCGCCGATGGTGCCTGACGGCACGCGGGGCTTCCACGCCGCCGCCCGCCAGCGGAGAATCTCCGACCTGGCGCTGTACTCGCGCTAGAAAGCGCTCGCCGACCGTAACACCTTTCTAATCACATCGAGTGCCTTTCACGTTGAGGCCCCAACGCTTAACGTTAAGGAAGCGTGTTCGCGAGTCCAATGATGTTACCTAAACTGTTGAATGTGAGATGGTAGACATAAGTTAGTCCTAATCCCTTACTTTTTGTATTTATTGATATTTATTGAGAGTCGAGGCGATCGGAGCGCGATGGCGCGGTTTTGAGTTTTCATGCTATGTCAGAGTTGTGAGCACAAAACGGAAGAAACAAAATCGACATTAGTTGCTAACGTAGACTCAAATCTGTAGAGATTGTAAATTTATATGGTCGATATAAGTTTGGCGGGATTGTTCAGTTACATAAACTTAGCGATGCGGACGCGTGTTTACGGCCTGTAACAGAGAGAGGGCTGCGTAATTCGTTCCGCCAAACAAGATTAAAAAAAAAAATCAGACCACGTCGTCGTTGAGCCGATCGCAATGTCTCCTTTTCTTTTTTTTAATTTAATTTAAGTCATGTAAGTCATTTGCGCCATGTCATTATTTCCATTATCGATTTTTTTTTATTTAATAAGTTTCGTTGTGATTTATTTGTAGATAGTACCATTGTAGAGTTACATAACATTCACTTTCTAGTGTACGCGAGTGAGTTGTGTGGATTGAATCGATTGTTTGCTCGATTTAACTATATTTATTAAAATGTATGTAAATCTGAAGAGGTCTTATGGTGGTATAACGGTTATTGCACAACGTCTGGTGCTATCATGGCGGACCTCTTCGTTACCTTTAGCTATAAATGTGTAATGTAAATTTTTTTGATAATAATATAAATTTTTAAAGAGCCCAGAGTTTAATTAAAAGCGACCTTCGTGATGGAAAGTGGGTGTTTTCGACCCCGGTTCACCTTGGCGATCTCTTCTCACGGTTGACGGTTGCTTCACAGGTTAATCGATTTGGGTATTTCCCGTTGGGCCGATGGACCTACTGAGTTGGCGTATTGATCAATCGGCCCTATGGGAAAAACTTCCATTGGGCCGAATGACCATTGGACGGTTGGAAAACACCCATAGATTAAAAGAAATCAATGCATACACTTTTTCTTCTTCTTATTACTTTTTCTTATTACTGGAATTCGACCAGTCTTAATGTATTTATGAAAATTACTTTACCCAATGAAAATGAAAATAAATCCTAAATTATTTGAGAATGGAAGTTAATGGACAAAAATTATCACAGATATGGCAATAATTGCCTGATTTTTTTTTATTTTGGGTATCGTAGTTTTTTTTTTTATAGAAAATGGAGGGAGATGCTTTTGATTTTGGCGCCATTTTTATAATATTTTTAGACAAATGTTTTTGAATTTAAAAAATCAAAGAATAAGACCTCTTCAGAGGAAATATTAAAAAGCAAAGCAATCAGTTGTCATTATCATCTCATCTAAGGCTAGATCATTTTAAAATACGAAGTTTTAAATTAAGACTTTAGTGTTTGTAAAAAGTTTTTAATCTTTGTTATTGAGCTTAACTTCATAAATTCAAACTATCTTTTTTTCTAATATAATTTAAACCCCTATTCCAATACAGCGACTAGTTGCGTGCAACTGATATTTCTATTAGCAATCTAGAAAACCATTCTGGCTTAGATTCCGCCAAAATAGTATTTGGGTAAGGCCGGAGTAGTGCGACTAGTACTCCAGTGGAAAAAGAGTCTACGTTCAAAAATTATGAAAGCTCGTGGTTACCACGAGCGTATTTTTTTAAAGGTTGGTAACAGACAGCTCTGGTAGATAATATTGTAAGGGTTCTAGTCGGTGCGTGTCTAATATAATCTCTTGTCACTGCAAGGGTTGTATGCGTAAAAAATTTACACATGAAAATGAAAAGGTTGCCTCCTAATCCATTTAAGGCCATCCAATACTAAATCCAAATTGTTGCAAAAAAACAACGGTCTTGTCCGAGAATCCCGAGCCGCCATAAAGCTTGAATGGCACTATACAACCGTTTTACTATAATAAGAAGTAAACTTTAGTATTGCTGAGTAAAAATTCAAGTAAAAATAAATATTAAGTTAATAGTAACTTTAAATAGAGACTATAAACTAATAAATTATTACATTTAGCATCATGGGCATTGCCAAGGGACCTCCTTTTAATAAAACTCATTACTTTTAAACACTAAGGTGCCTACAAACGTTAACTCAGATTTTGTCTTGCGAATTTTTAATCTGATTGACAATTGAGTTAATATTTGTTTATAAAATCATTAACAAACCTCCCATCGATCTTGAATACAGTGGTGATCGTACTGAGGATGGTTACGCGTGTAAATTATAAATATCACTGTGAAATACCGTTGCCGAAACAACTATATTTAAACATATGGTTGTCTCTTTTTTTTTTAAATAAAGATGAGAGGGATGACCTTATATTTTATGCAATTGTTTCGATGGTGATAGTCTTTGTAAACAGTTCACTATATTTTGCCATATTTAACTTATATTGTCAAATTATTAGGTTAGTTTAGTTCCCGCTTTTTTTAAGTAATACAATAAGGTAAGGCAAAGGTTCTGTGCATCATTCAGCCAAAAACTAAAAAAAAATGTAATCATAAAAATACTGGCAATTTTAAAATATTATGACGCATTTTAAAAACATAAAAATATGCGTATTCAGCATATTTTTGTTGTTTCATTGAATTAAATTGAAGCGTTTTTGTTTTTTAAATATATTTTGTTACTTTTAAATATTTTTTAAGAAATAAAAATATACTAGAAGACTGTCGTTAAAAGATTCACATTGTTATACGTATTTTTCTTATTATTTTTTTTATAAAGATTTTATCTAAAAACCCACTAATTTAAATGTGATAATTACTAAATTTACTACTGGTTTTATCAATGATTTTATTTATTTTGTCTGTTATAAATATATTATTTTAACTCTAATCTTTTGTTTTTTTATTCAACAAAATATGACACCTGTGACTTTTATTCGGCCAAAATTGAGGAAAGAAAAAAAAATTGAGTTTTAGTCGTTGCAAAACTCTGTATCCCAAGCATTTTTTTTTAATCTAATTGTGTTTTCAAACTGCACATAAATTGAAACCACTGGATTAACGTCGAGACTAATGCCTGGTTTACATTATGCCAGTATACCAGTACTGTACTGGCATAATGTAAACAAGGTATTAAACTTTTACGTTAAAATAACTCGACCGATGTTATCCGTACTTTTTTATTAAAAGACCTCGTGGATAATTGTTTTTAAATTTCCTTGTTAGCTTTTTAAACGGTTAAAAAATTAAAAAAAAAATGTTATGATGTTCGTAATTAAATATTTCAATTGAGGAAAAAACAAACAATAAGATTCATTTAGCTCTCAAAGTCGAGTGGGAATATTTTTACATAATTGTTTATATTTTGTATTTATTCTATGTTTAAGTTTTTGCAATCTATGCATTGATAGGCTATATTGCGTAGGATTTTGTGTCTATTTGATTTTCGCCATTTTGACACTGACAGTTGCGATTGGAAGAAATTCAAATTAAATACCAAAGACAAGAATAATAGTGTTCCATTTTTTTTTCTACATCTCAAGTATCACTAATCAGGAGTTCTAAGTGGCCAAGTATTTATAAGAAAAACAAATACTAAGTAGATAAAATTCTCTAAACATTCACTTTTCCTCCGGAACTGAAGTATACGAGCGGAATTTTAATACGCATTGCCCGACTTGCAAATTGTTGATAAAAATATAAACAAACTATAAACAACTTTAACGTGGAATAAATAAAGTCAAAAATAGCTTGACATTGTATTAATATTTACGCCTATTTGTAAGTAAATTATTTAATTATCAATGTCGAGGTTCGCAGATGGTACAGTCAGCGACATAAATGAAAACATTCAAGGTGGTGGTACATTCGAGTAGTTAATGGTACTATGTGACGTCATCTATATTAATAAAATAAAGTGGAGAGGTACTGTCGAGGTCAGTCTCTGAAAACATTTATTACCTTATGAATCCCTTTTTTAAATTTAGTTTACACTGCCGTAACACCACATAAAAAAGTGTTGTCGTTCTTTTCAAAGAGAATAAAAAAGGACCACAATATTTTTAAAGGCGCTTAACTTTTTAGTTTCATCGAGACTAAATGTTTTCACCTTCAAAAGCTATAAAAATAGTTGAAACCCAGAGTCTTAGTGAATTCAACGTAGGCAGAGTCTAGGTTATACTACGAATCTAGCCAAACTATTTTAATTGTTTGCATATTTCCATCACTATTTGCGTAACGCAAACTTGTATGTTATCAGAAACCTTCACCTAATTCTCTAAGTATGTATATATGACCTTTGACTATAGAGAAATGGACTAGACAAAGAGTCGCCTTTGTAATAATTAAATTCTTCCATTTTTGGCTGGGAGATGAATATGACTATCATTTATGTGCAAATCATGATGACCCGTAAAATTAAAACAAGATGTTTATGAGCAGATTGAATCAAAAATGTACACACTTAAATATAACAAATATATAAGTAATTGTAGCTTTTTTTTAACTAAATGTAATACGCGCTCGGCAGATCCTGTACCTTAAAACTCAACGTATATATGACACTAGAAAGCGATATATGTCTTCGCCCGCGGCGACGCCTACATTTTTTCGAAGATATTGATCAATCGTATATATTATACTGGTTTTTATTACCAAAGAAATATTATAATATTAAGAAATTATCTGTGGCAAATTTAAGATCGAATTGGCTGATAAAGACATTTTGATTTTATTACTTTAATAAAATGCATAATTATATCTTACCTCTTTTTGTAAGGCGGGAAACAATTAAGCAGTTCTCTGGTGACTCTATCTATAGACATCTGCAACAATAATATGATGAAGGTGTAACAGATGCGTAGTCTATTTTTAAATAATAAACTTAAAACTATCAATTAATAAAATTCAAATCTTCTGTACATTTAAAAGTGGTTCTCACATTTTTTTTTCTTTTAAAATTACTCGCTTCAGTTAACTCTTTGCTGCTAAATATGTCGTCTTCAATTTGTGAATCCCTAATTTTATTCTTTGACATCGTACTACTTTTTATAGATTAGAAAAGAATACACCATAAAGGAAGTACGAATTCTTGAAGATAAAGTAGCATTATAAAATCAAATATTTATTTATGGTTTTACAAACGTGTTTTTTTATCTGTTCCGTAATTACGCGCCAAAATAATGGCCGCGCTACTCTATGATCGAAACAGCTGATGTTTACAGAAAAATATATCTCTTAATTACAGAACGACCCAATTATGTATCAAAGGCCGTTTTGTATATTTCCTGGGAAATCTACAATTGTAAAGTTTTTAAACGAGTTTTTTTATAAGCATATGTAATTTGTGTATAGTTTTCCTAACATAATTTATAGAAATAGAAAAACATAAGTTTTTTTCAATTTTTAAGAGCAATAATTTTTTTCCATTCATGATTATAAATTTTGGTGATTTTTTTAAAATTCCATTTTGACCTTTTGCAACCGTAATTTAGTCGTTACCATTTTGATGAGTGAGGTGGTAATTCGATTCGTATATCCATAAATACAATTAGGTTTTATATATTTTATAAATAAATAGCTGTTGCCCGCGACACATAAGCCTATGTTTTCTTCCAGACTATCTTCTGTATGTAAGCTAAATTAATCGAGATCCGTTCAGCCGTTCTGGAGTTACCTTCAAAAACATCCATCCATTTAAACATTCGCATTTACAATATTAGTAAGATAAGATAAACAATGAATTTGTCACCTACTTCACTTTGTGTTAGTATAATCTATGTAGCCAACCACAGATTATAAAACGAGTTGAATCATAGACAGAGATTTGCAACAGATTATGTAAGATAGATCGACACTTGAACCGCATACGTTACGTCTCTATATTCATAATTATTACCCGTACAGTTACTAGTGCATAACAATGGCGTAAAACATTAATAATTTATACATAACTAGACTAATTTACTAACATAATCAAGTAACCAACACTGGCTTTTTTTATAACAGAAGTATGCAAACGAGCAGCGGGAACACCGAGGTGTTCAATGACGCCCATGGACATCAGCAATACCGGAGGAACCGCAGATGCTTTGCCGGCCTTTGAGATGGTGATAAGCTCGCTTCTTGAAGGACACTAAGTCGTAGCGGTTTGGAAATACCGCCGAAGACAGACCATTCCACAATGCTGCTGTGCGAGGCAGGAAGTTTCGAGCAAACCGCACGGTTGTGGATTGCCCGCCATCGAGATGGTGTAGATGGAACCTGGCGGTCTATCGTGTCGTCCGATGACGGAACTCGGCGGCAGGTTTCGTCCCAAACAATTCTTCAGGCTTTACTATATTATATTTAGCATTAGCGGAAAAATAAACGTAGTTTAAAAAAAAGTTACTTTCAAATTAAATACTTAATTTGTCTACTAAAATTGTTTCTATTTAAAATAGAATTATAATATATAATATCATGTAACGAAATACGCATAATAATTACTTAAATCCATTTCGATTTGCAATCTCTAAGCGTAGTTAAAACGTAAAGAAATGTACATAATTATGTAAGTACGAGTATAAATGCGAATGTTTAGATGGATGTTTGTCTGAAGGTATCTCCAGAACGGCTGAACGGATCTCGATGAAATTTTGTATACATATAGAACATAGTCTGGAAGAACACATACACACTAATTCTGCGATGACGGAGTCGCGTGCGACAGCTAGTAACCTTATAATTCTGACATAGTCACGGATATAAATCAACTAGCTGTCGTCCGCGACTCTATCTGTAAGGATAAAAAAACCTTATGAGTAACCTATGTGTTCTTCCAGTCTATGTTCTACATCTGTGCCGAATCTTCAACCATCCATCCATCCAAACATTCATATATTAGTAAGAATTAATATTATATTAATGTAATTTTACACTTTAGAATTAATCTAATAACTCTGACAGACATAGTCACGGTTATAAGTCAATTAAGTTTTATTACAAAATGTATTTTACAGATTAGCAGATGTTTACTTCCTTTTTTTTTCATAGGGGAATGCTTTATGCATACTCCGCGCCCCGGGGGGACGCGGTAGTTCTCTGGGATTACCTATGATATTGGGCATACCCACTAAACCCCACTGTTCCTCCAACGCATCGGGACGGGACCACGGGCACGCTTTCGCTCTCGTCCGCGGCCCAGATGTTTACTTCCTGACTTCCTTGCGGTATGCCCCTGACCTACCACCCTAACTCCTGACTACGCGGTCACCGTAACATGATACTGTAATATAAGATTTATTTACGTAAATGTAATAACATGATATAATAGTTACATGTTATAATTTTATTATCGAATGTATGAAATAAGCTGCCGCATAGACTTTGCCAGCGCGAAATTAAAAAAAAAATTAGTAGTCTATGTGTTCTTCCAGACTATGTTCTACATCCGTGTAAAATTTCATCGAGATCCGTTGAGTCGTTCTAGAGATACGTTCTAACAAACATCCGTCTATCTATCCAAACATTCACATTTATAATATTAGTAAGAAGTAAGCTGATATGTTTTGAAGATACGTTTTAACAATCATACATCCAAACATTCGCATTTATAATATTAGTATCATACTATGATTGTCTTAGGATAACGATGTTTTAACATCTTTTTTAAAAATAGAATTTGTTTTTTTAAAAACATATGCCCAAAATTAAATTGTTTCTTAAACTATTTTTATACAACTTTAGTTTGAATTTGATGTTATAATTGCAATTAAGAATTATAAATAATAATTTATCGTTGTTCAAATTATTAATTGTTTAAAATTATGTTAATTATTCATCTTATTATAACATTTGGAAATCATCACGGGATTTACTGCGGAAGTATTATTTGTTATATTATGTATTACTTTTTATGTACTAGTTATTACATAAGACTAGCGCTCGCCCGCGACTCCGTCTGCGCGTAAAAAAAGCTTAATTAGTAGCCTATATGTTCTACTGTATGTAGCCATTAATTACATTCAAAAATTCGCAATTACATTAGTTTTATTAGTAAAACAAAAAGTAAGATGTACAATATTATAAGAAATTTCTTTTTCTTTTTTTTTTAAATAGATATGTGTAAGAAAATAAATAATTCTGCCAACATTTGCAACAAGGTCCTTTTGTGTAGGAAAATAGGACTTTGAGGGTCGTTGTGAGGAAAACAAAACACAAACAGGAAGGGAAATTTACGCGATGTTACGTGGTCAGAATTTATAACATAGAAATGATATTTGCAATGACCAAACTTTATAAGATTTCATCTTGTTTTAATTTTTTTTTCTAAAATATGGCTTTTCAATTTCGAACGACAAACTTTAATTATAAAACTAATCAGGTTAACAAAAGAAAGTTCCTAGACGTGATTTTTTTTAGTTATAAGATGGCAAAATAAACGAGCAAGCTGCTACCTGATTTCGCCGGCTACGTTTAATCAAAGGGCATGGACAGAAAGGGGATATTTCTCCTTACTATGTGTCCTCTCCTCCGCTAAATCCACTTCCTATTCATTCTTTTCCTGATAAGAAAAGGGAAGAAAGGGAAGATCAGGTTATACGCTGAATCGTTTTTACGTCTGTCTTCTCTGTGGTCGTGGTATTTCATTTGTCAAGCCCTATTCGTGCACCCAACAAATTGTAGAATCTGCCATTGTTAAAATGAAAATTCCCAAACGACAGATCGCGGGTGTGCACAATAACGGGAACAAGTTAAAGAAGAAATGTAGCATCAGGTTGTTTATCGAAATATGTAAAACTAGCTGTAGCCTGCGATTACGTGCGGAACTAAAAAAAGCTAATTAGTAGCCTCCATGTTCTTCTAGACTATGTTCTACGTCTATGTCAAATTTCAGCTAGATATAAGCTGGAGATACCTTAAAAAAAATCATCCATCCATCCAAACATTCGCATTTTTTATATTTGTAAGAATATTAGTAAAAAGTAAGATAATATTAGTAAGAAGTAAGATTTTGAAAGATGTTTACAAGGAAAAAATATCGTTTTGTTTGCTTGCAATATTTAAGTTGTGGCTGTTAAGTAACATTTTTATAATAAGTATTGGTCCTCTATTGCTCAGTGACTACAGTCTTTTACAATATGTACATTCACGAGCGATTTTTTTTACGTAATCATTACTTTCACTACAACTTTATTCTTATAATGATAGTGTTGCGATCGAATTTAAAATATTTATTTTAACATATGGCAATATTGTTTATTTATAGTGGTACCAATAGCGTTCTCTCATGCGTGAATTCAAAATCGAGCCTATTATGGTATTAAGTGCAAAAATCTACACGCATCAATTTTAGAGAGCTCCTTGGAAGTTCGAGTTTTAATAAATGGCCAAATTATTCACATTTATAACAATAGAAAATAATAAAAAAGTAAAATATTATACTATGTGGGTGTTTTTCTTACCAGTTAAATGTTTATTTTCGGAAAACGTGCCCTCTAATGTCATATTTATATTATTCACTTCACTATCGCTACTGAACGCTAGATGACACTTTTTACGATTTCAAATGACTGTCTGTCGTTAGTCCATAGACAGTGAGAGAATGTGTTGGGTCAAACAAAACAAATTAAAAATTGTAATCGCTGTAAGATAACTGTAAAGCAGTCATTGTGTGTAATATGTAACAAAAATGACAGTTTCTTTTTAATTATTTTTATAATTATATAATTCATTAAGAATTTAACTTTTTTTTAACTTGGCATTGACACCAATTGGCACGGCAATATGGCAACTCCTTACGTTTCTTTAGTTTATGGCGCAACCGCCGCATGACAGTTGTGTGGGAAACGATTTGGTATTATGAAGTAAAATATTTTATAAATTACTGTGTTTAAATGACAGCAGGAAAAGAAACAATGGGGTGAGTTTTATTTCTTATATCTTAGTTTATACTAATAAATTATAACCAATTAATTATTTCAAGGGTAACATATTAAAAATCGTTTTCTCTGTACAGAGATATTTTTAGGGAGGGGAGATACACTTTACCAATGCGAAGCAGTATTTTTAAGCTTTCCAATAAACAATTTAACGTTTTCACTTTCATTAGTATTTTGGCGGTAAAAAATGTTTTAAATTATATTTACGCATCGTTAAAATTTATCAGTATACAGGCGGTATGGAGTAATTTACGCTTGTATGAGCCAAAGATTGATTGTATCCGTTTGAACGGGTTTACCTCATCGTAAAGGTCGCTAAGGACCAATAGGTCGAAGACTGCTATTTATAAAATCGAGTATATTAATACTTAGGCTTACCACATGAGATACGATATATTTTAATTAAGTCCAATAGAAATAGACAAGAAAAAAAAAATTAGATAAAAATATGTTTCTATTTAGTTGATTAATTTCGAGCTTATTTGAATTTCCATGAATATTTAGTTAATATTTCTAAAATATACTGTTGGTTTTTATTCCTTCTTAATAATAATACCAAAAAAATTGCATACAAAATAAATTATTAAATTTGATTTGTAACATATGGATGCCTTACATTGTCAAATTTAACTAGAAAACAATATGAAAAAAGGAGAACAAATACTCTATTTTATTAGTGTAACTAAATGTCTTTTGATATTAATTGAGATCATTACCTGTAAGACTAGATCTAATTTTTTTTTAGTAATTTTAAAACTAAATTTTGAACTGAAAAAATCAATTTTAGTTATAATTTGAAAGAGATAGATATTCAAAAGTTATATTTTAAATGACCTTTAATTGTTCTTTTTTTTAATATATATATTATAAGGTGGCAAACGAGCGAGCGGTCACCTGAAATCGCTGAAGTAGTGAAGTGACCGTTGCCCATAGACATACGCAATTGCATATGCGTTGCCTACCTTTGATCGACGGAGGAGAGGATGCACAGAAAGAAAATATATTCCCTTTCCATGCATCCTCTCATCCGGAAAGTCCACTTCCACTTCCCATCCTTTCCTTATAAGAAAAGGGTGGGAAGGGAAAGAGGACTAAATAAGGCCCCCGGGACGCACACTCATCAGACGAAACGCGGAATTGCTTCCACTTCACGCCTGTCTTCTGTGTGGTCGTGGTATTTCACCGGGTGAGGCGGGCCAATTCATGAAAAGATGTTAAAGCGGGCTCTTCCATTGTTATATTTAACTCTTTAATTGCAAACTTGTTCTCGCCGCATCCCTTCTCTTATAAACATTATAATGAACAGCGGTAGACAGCATAATATCTGCTGTACAATTGACCTGATCTTGGTAAGCTTTGGGCTCCTCGGTAGTGATATATAGAGTGCTGATGATGATGATAATCTCTTGATTGATGATATTCTTTTGGTGAAGGAAAACATGTGATGCAAACTGCATATATCAGCAAAGAAAATTTAAAGATATGTGTGAAGTTTCCTATCTAATTATTGGTGCCCACAATACAGGCGATGCCTAGTGTGGGCATCACTAGATTACCCAAAAACCCATAAATGGTAACTTAAGTTTAATTTCATTTTTTAGTTATGTGCAATTTATATGTTAGTATAAATTATTCAAACTTTCGTGAGACATTATACCAAACTGATATATAAACATGGGTAAACACTCACGTATATACTTCCGGTGGCTGCACCGACTAGTTTCGAGTCCATCGGGGGCCCTTCATCAGGATGAGTGGTACTGGTTTTATTTCACGGACGCGGCTCGTCGTCGCTATGTTAGTATAAATTTATTGTTTTTGGTTTAATCTTTATTATCTGTAATTAAAACTTTTTTTTTTCTTTTAAGTTAACCCGCACTTGGCCATAGTGGTACACTATGGCTTGGTGCGCTGACTTATTGTAGGCTCCGAGTCCCGGAGTGGGGATGTATATTAAGATGATGAAAAAATACTAAAGTTTTAAATACATTTCACATCTACATTTATTCTTGTTAATTGAAGTGTTTTTTTCATTGAATATGATACTTTACACATTAATGACACACTTTTAACCCTGACATTGACACTTAACATATATTTACGACACCGCATCCCAACCTCGTTAACCCGTATGTTTATTTGTCCGTAATTGCCTCTAATTAATCTGGACATAACACTTTTTTATTCACTTACATTTTTTCTACGACCACAGCTCTTATGTGGCTGGTATGTTTGAACAATTTATGCATAGTCAAAGAATTAAATATGGTACAGAATTTTGATTAAATTTGGAACATAGATGTAGAACACAGTCTGCAAGAGCGCATAGGCTTTTTACTAAGTTTTTTTAATATCGCACGGACGGAGGGACAGTTAGAAAGAAGTATAATTTAAAGTAGGGTGGGGAAAGCGAAGATTTTGGGATATACTTGGATGTGGGAGTTAAACATAAGGTACCTTGCACCTGTGTACTCTCACCATACATAGCGCTATACATATAGGATTGTGCATTTAAAATGGATTAAGATACAAAAAAAAAACATCTTTTAAAAGTGCTCATCCATCCTTGGTCCAGTATATATTGTTTATTAATAGAGTAGTTCAAGGGCTGTGTTATCTTCGTAAATTTTAAAGTAGGGTAGATATAAATTTGATCCCATGAGCCTATACTTAAATGTTAATTGTAGTTTAAACTGTAGATTTATGAATGAAGTAGCTTTTGGGTATGATTTCGTCCAAATCTGGTAGGCTTTATTTTATAAAAAAAAACATAATTAGTAGCCTATGTGATCTTATAGATTATGTTCTATATGTATGCCATATTTAATCAAGATCCTTTTAGCCATTCTGGAGATACCATCAAAGAAACATCCATCCATCCGTCAAAACATTCTCATTTATAATTTTAGTAAGATTACTTGGGGACTGGTAACTACTCAACAGTGAAGGAATTTTTATTTTTTACAAACTACCCTCTTTTATTAATGGTGTATGAAAATTCTTCATAAGTTAATTTCGTCATGAAAACCATTCTCTTTTCAAAGTAACAACATAGATGACAAGTCTATTGATAACGTCCCGAGAGACACTCGAAATTGTAAAGAAAAATAACTGATTTTTAATTTTCAACTTTATGTCTATGTAGTTAGTGTTGATTTTGTGTAATATGTATTTTGTTTGGGACGTGATAAATCGATACAGCATCATCGAAATGACACAGTTGTGAAACTGATAAAGGCTCTGATAGCTACAATATTTGTGTGAGTTTCGGCGATGGAAACTCAGAATCTTAAATGTAAATTTACAGACAGATCGACTTATTATACTTGCTCGTTGGTTACGGTTACTCCTTTTACGCTACACTTGTTTGTTACGAATAAACTCAAAAACTATTGCCCTAATTTCGAAAACTCTTTGACATAATTTACTAAATTATTCAGAAGTGACAGGCTAATCATCAGCTCACTATAAGTCCCCCTAAGGGACTCGGAGACTACCCTAAGTTAGTGACTAGGTAACACAGTCGACTACGCTGGCCCAGTGCAGGTCGACTTCACACATATCTTTGAATTTCTTCCCAGACGACATAGGCTGTGTTTAATGAAAAAAAAAATAGAAAACATGTCGTATATATCTTGCTATTCGTGTGAAGAACTGACGCTTTTCTCGTTCATTATAATTCAATACTTCATTATAGAGTTTTGAATTTCATAATACAAGAAGTGGGTCAGTGGATACCCGACATTTGATTTGGCACGTCGGTAGCAAGAGTAGTCTCGTTTCCGACGTGCCATCTTAAGTGACAAGTATTGGAAGTATCGTGGCAAACAATGGTTCTTCATTGTGCTTAACTAAGAGTATATTTATTATAAGTGATCGACATAGACACGGAAATTTTTTTTTCAATCATTGGTGAAAAAATAATAAAACAAATCTGTTTTTAAAACTTTTGTCTGTGGGTTTGTGTCGACTAATCTTTGACATAAGTAAACTGATTTTGGTTAGTTGATGTTCCAAGTTAAAACCTTGGTTTACAGAATTTAAGTCTTTTAAAAGATTTTTATTTAAAACCTTCATATTAAATGGATGGAAAGTGGAATTGGATCTTGGAGATTAATTTGGATTCGTATCTGTCCACGGGTTTGCTTTCTATTGAGTTCCAATACGGTATGTTTCTTAGAGAATATCTTGGAGAATATATTCTAAAGGTGTATTTAGTTTTTGGCTCACGTTCTTAATGTTATCTGTCTGTCTTGAACAGAGTTCGTTGCCGCATCGTTGCATTGCGATACTGCGACATTATTTATTTAGACAATTTTATTTACAGAAATAAATTTTTGAAAGACCTTTCTTCCTTTCTAACCATATTGTAGCATTCGTTGCGTTATATTTAGCTCACGTACCAACACGTGTTGCCGGTCCAAAGGTCTGACATCGACTGACGTCTCCTTTCTCCGGCATATACTTATGGCGTGTACACTCGAGACAAACACCACGTTTATGTATAAACTACACCTATGATAACTTTGCAAACATATTTTAAATATTAATTCATCTTATTTCCAGCGAACAACCAATCTTCACGTGTAAAGCTCACGTGTTCCACATAGACCCGAAGACAAAAAGGTCCTGGATGTCGGCTAGCTCTGCTGCAGTCTCCGTCTCCTTCTTCTACGACTCCTCGAGGAATCTGTATCGCATCATCAGTGTTGAAGGCACAAAGGTATGATAGCGCTATCTCTCTCACAACTATGTAACTAAGTGATATGTGTGACGGAGACATCGCTCTATGTGTTAAGTTCTGTCTCCAATTTCATATCTTACCAAATGAGAAATATGCTATGGTAGGTTTTCGAAATATAAAACCTCTTTTTAAATCTTGAAGAAAACCGTTAAACGAATATTTTTTATTGGTTCCGTTCAAATGCATTTCTAAAGGACTGTCAATCTTTTTGTATGTTTTAAAACATAATTTGGGAATATCAAGATAGATTCTTTTTATATTAAAAGGTGGCATACGCGTAAGTGGCCACCTGAATTCAAACGCTGCCGATAGACATCTTCAATTGACTTTAATCGACGGAGGAGGAGACACAGAGAAATAGAATATTTAAGCCTACTTATTTCATATTTTATATCATTTTTATAAAAGAAAATATCGCATCAGAATAGGTCCAATTCGATTAATAAAATTGCAAGTTAAAGTCAAAGGAAAAAAATATAAAATCAAATAGTTTTCGTAAGTAACAAAATATAAAGTCTGTATATGTATTGGTTTATTGTTCATTGCACCCGTCTAAAGTCACCTTGTCTGTAGATTTCGCGTCGTGTCGAAATAAACCGCAATAACTAGGCTTTGTCATGCCTTGGGTCTACAAATTGCAGACATACATATTTTCGTTGTATTATTTAGAAATAAAATCATATTGGATTTTACTATAATTTATTTTAACTTTAAATATAAGTACGGTTTCTGATCGGATTTTTTTTATTTTATTTGTGACTAGCTATCGACCGTAACTCCGTCCGGGCGGAATTAATAAAACTATTGGTCGCAGCGTTATGTTATATAGCCTTAAGCTCTCTATAAATGGCCTATCCAACAAAATAAGAATTTTTCAAATCGGACCAGTAGTTCCTCTTTATATAATAAAATTAGTATATATTTAGTAATCGTTAGATTAAATCGGTGCTTACAATTCCAAACGAATATACAAAAAACAAGGCGATTTACGAAGTTACTTTTCATAACGAGATGTAACCCTTTTCGTCGTATGTGTCAATATGTAGAAAAGGTTAAAACTCTAAGATCGTGAAGAGGTTTAACTAGTAAATAAGTTTTTTTTAAAACATACTTTCCTCAGGCGGTGATAAACAGCACGATCACAGCAAATATGACGTTCACGAAGACATCTCAGAAGTTCGGTCAGTGGAGTGACGTGCGCGCTAACACAGTGTATGGACTCGGCTTTGCTTCAGAGGCGGAGTTGGGAAAGGTATTTCGTTTTTATATATTAGCAATTTTTTATTAATTTACTAATAATCCTTGTATGATTCTAACAAAGCTGTAGGCTTGTGCTAGGACATGGTTTACGACAAGAGTCGAATGTCGGGGTTTCAACACTCCACTTGCCTAATGTTTAAGGGTACGGAAACCCGCACACTTAGCCATTAGGCTACTGAGGTTCTTATGTATATCCCTGCTTCGTATGTTTTCATTGTCAAACTAAGAAAACGATAGGCGATGAAAATAGTTACATGTTAAAACTAATGTGACTGTATTATATTGAAAATTCGTTTTAATTGCTATGTTTATTTTATCTAAAGACACGTAGTCCAATAAAAATGCGAGCAACAAAACTCAAACTCCCACGGTATTGTAAAGTTGCGTGTTTGCAGATGTAACTCTTTTCGTTGTATGCATCAAATAGTGTCTTCTTTACTGTTTTGTTTTTTTTTATTGTATTAAAGTCGTTGAATATCTTTGCAGTTTATAGAGAAGTTCCAAGAGGTGAAGGAGGCGATACAGGCGCAGCAGTGCGGTGGTAAAGCGGCGCCCAACGGCAGCAGCGGCGCCGCCACACCCGTCGCCAGCGCGACCGCCAGCCCCCTGCTGGCAGGACGCGCACCCCCCGACGAGCCCCCCGCACTCTCGCCCGCACAGGTCACTACACTAAACTATTTTATTATCGTTGAATCTTTAAATCTATTAAATACTAGCTGTAACCGGCGACTCCGTCCGCGTGGGATAAGATAAATATTAGTATCCTATGTGTTCTTACAGGTTATGTTCTCCGTCTATGTCAAATTTCAGTGAGATTCATTCAGCCGTTCTGGAGGTGCCTTTTAACAAACATACAAACTTTTTTATTTATAATATGAATGAGATTTTAGTAAAAACGTTATATAACTGTAATTGATTTGTTATTATGTTTGTAGCCGATAAAGACCGATAACGATGAGATGATGGTGCACCAAAGAGCTCACTCCGTCTCTTCCACTCTACAGGTATTGTTTACATATACTATTCCATACATATCCGTATTCTAGTCCAATTTTATACGTATAGTACTGGGTTCGACGGTACACAACACTGTTCCAATCATCGCCGGAATCACTACAGATAATACCAATTAAGGAAAAGGCAGAATTCTCTAAAACCTAGTTCACACTATGCCAGTACAGTAAGACAGTAACGCTGGCCTGGAGGGGACTGTGTGGTCTCACAGCTAATATTTACATAATGTAAAGCAAATATAGTAGGTCAATACAGCTAAGGTATAATAGAAGAAAAAGTTTGTAGGAAAAAATTGTTTTTTGAAACAAATTTTTTTTAATTATCATCTAATAACATCAAAGACGAACGTGGTTGGGATTCTTTGGAGAGTTAGGGTCGTTGGAATCCGGAGCCTGCTCACACGCAAAATACACGCCAGTCGTGAAGTTGCGGAAATGGAGACCATTCAAATAACTTATTAGCATCCATTTACTTGGTGATATAGGAGAGTTTGAGGAACGTGTGTGTGGGGGTATGTTGTCAGGGTGGTGGTTACGCGACGGTGGGTCGTGCGCCGCGCGGGCCGCTCTCCTCCAGCGCGGCGCCGCCCGAGCCCGCCGCCGACACCGCCGAGCAGCAGCTGCGCTACGAGAACGACCGCCTCAAGCTCGCACTCGCACAGAGGTAAACAGATACAAAATACTTCTATCTGCTCTTACATCTTTTCTGACATGTCACTTTTTGGCACGAAAAGAGTTACATCTTTTTTGACATGTAACTCTTTTACACACGAAAACAATTACATCTGCTCTTACATTTTTTCTGAGCTGTAACTCTTACACACAAAAACTGTTTCACTGTTCTACTCTTAAATCTTTTCAGACATGTAACTTTTGGAGACGAAAACAGTCACATCTGCTCTTACATATTTTCAGAGATGTTACTTTTGGAGACGTGAATAGTTACATCTTATGATAGATTTCTTAATACTCCTAAGTCTATTTAAGACGAAACGAGTTATGTCCGTTGAAAGTTCTTTTAGAGATGTAACTTTTTAACATACGTAAATAGTTACATCTGCTGTTACTACTCTTTACTATTTTCCGACAAAAATATACAGTAATATAATATTTGCCGTGTATGGAATTTGATGTTTCAACATACGTTTTTTTTTGTTTTTTTTTTCAAAGGATAAATAAAACATTGGTATTTATTTTATAACAATAAAAAAGTTTATTATATTGCGACAATTTTTGTACAACACTTAAAATACTAGAGAACAACCAAACAGTCTTATAAAACCTAATTAAGAAATATAGATTAAAAAAAACATATAAACGAACCTCCTTCTTTTGGAAGTCGTTTGAAAGTAACCCTTATTGTGTTGGTAATAAGGCTTAATAAAAAGAATTTGATAAAGAAGTAAAAATAAATATTAAAATAAATGATTAATTTCTTTTAATTTTTACGTATTCGATACATATTTAAAAATAAATTGTTTTAACAATTTTAATTGTAAATGTAATTATTGAAATTATATTTATTTTACAATAAAATAATTAATAAAATTGTAATTCAATTTAAGAATTGTTATTTTAAAAATAGATGTTTTAATTAATTAGAAATATTTTTAATGTAGATATTCAATTTTATCTACATTTAATTTTCATTCGTAAATAAAATAAAATATATTGAGCAAAAATAATACTAATAGTCTTGGTTGTTCTATTTTATTTATTTTAAAATAAAACAATCTTCACTGTGTTTTAGTAAGGTATAAAAACTTGGAATCGTCGACTCGAAATTAACTCAAAAAAAATCAAATTTTAAATAGTTTTTAAAGGATTGAATTAACTTAAATCCTTGTAGGGTGTCCAATAAAATACAGGATAAAATGATTAACACGTTAGCTGCCGTGTCGGACTATGCGTCCGACAAGCCATACTTCCATTCATTTGTAAATAATAAGTATATGAGCAATATAAATAAGGTATTACTATATTTTTAGGTGTTTTCAAATGGTTTTGGACAAAATTAAAAAAATTTTTTTTTCGTTTTTCGAAAAATTTGTCTGATAGCTAACGTGTTAAATTATATTTTAAAATAACACTGAAGATTGTCGATCTAATTTTTATTTTATACTGTCCTAACACTATACAAAATCATTGTCAACTCTTAATTCGCGTTGTAACCTTTTTCGTATGGATATTTTGACAGTGGATCTTAAAAGTAACAAATATACATTTCTCTATAATACTTACATTAATTTTAAAGCATTTGAATATTTAAAAGTATAAAATCTTTGACGTATTAGTTAGTGCTCATAGCTTTCGTAAGACGGCATGAAACCTTCTTCACTGGCGTGGTAGTCGTGTTGATATGGAATCGGCTCGTACGATGGCTTGCTCACTTTATATTCCTCCATATGTTTCGGTGTTCCTGTGGGGTTTTTTTTGTATCATAAGGTGGCAAACTAGCGAGCGGCTACTTGTATTGAAATAGCGAAGTGACCGTTGCCCATAGACATACGCAATTACATATGCGTTGCCTACCTTTAATCGACTCTATGTCGAATTTTAGTTCTCTTTCCCTTCTAACCCTTTTCTTATAAGGAAAAGATGGGAAGGAGTAGCATATGAAGGGGAAATATCCTATTTCTGTGTTCCCTCCTTTGTCGATTAAAGGTGGGCAACGCATCAGCAATTGTGGATGTCTTTGTGTAGCGGTCGCTTTGCTATTTCAGCGAATTCAGGTGTCTCCTTGCTCGTTTGTCACCTTTTAATATGAAAAAGACTAATTTGGTAACGGCCATGACTCGATGAGATTTAACAGCCGTCTTTAGGTTAATAGGCAACATTGGAATGAATAGTCAGTCTTTATAATTTAGTAGGTGTCTGCGACTCAGCGTAAAATTTAAAAAAAAGTAGCCTTTGTGTTTTTCCAGGCTATGTTCTACATCAGGGGTTCCCAAACTTATTTTGTCTACTGCCCACTTTGAGAATAAATATTTTTTTAGCGCCCCCATATTTTCACATATTTAACAACCACTATAACATCAAATTAAATTAATTAATTATTGTGACCTATATATGTATATTAACGGAGAATTGTAAAGGAAACTTTTACTATAACCCGCAACTTGAGTCCTGCAGTGCCCACAGGGGGGCGTTATCGCCCACTTTGGGAAAGACTGTTTTACATCTATGCCAAATTTCAGCGAGATCCATACAGCCGTTCTGGATATACCTTCTAACAAACATCCAATTACATCCAAAAAATTACTTACCAATTTTATGGACAACAGCATTAAATCCGTTCTTATCATCCGCTTCGTATTCAACGATACGCTTTGTTCCGTCAGTTTCTACCAGTGTGTAGGTTCCTATACAAAAACATATTTAAATATTAATTTCTGACACATGAAAACATTGACCCATGCAACCAAAAGATTTACTTCTATTAGAAACAGTGGTAGACGCCAGGAATCTGTTGCACCAATTGACCAGATCGATATCACTAAAGACAGGCGTGTAATTAAAGGCAATCCTCGTTTAGTCTGATGAGTCTGCGTTCCATACTTCTAATATTAGTGATCTTTCCATTCCCATCCTTTTCTTACAAGGAAAAGATGGTAAAGGTTTTGACGGAGGAGGAGCGTCCTCTACTTCGTAGATTAGAGGTAGGCAACGAGTGGATCTCTATGGGCAGCGAACCCTTCGCTATTTTGGCGAATTCATGTCTGCTAGCTTGGTTGGCATAGAGGTGTAAGAAAAGATGTAACGATATAGACTATGTTACCTTTGACTTTGTCACCATCTCTGGTCTCCCAGTGTTCCTTGTCATCACCAGTATGTGGGTCCTTCACAGAGTAGTCGAAGGAATATTTTGGATGTGCCTGTAAATGATTGATTATAGGTAATTATACTCTAACATATAGCAGTAGTTAAAATTTTATTTATTTTGTATGTTGAAATTTTAGTATTCATTGAATTTACGATCTTTGAACCAAAATACAGCGTGTTTTAATTTAATCTTTATTTTTAAATAGTTTTTAATTTTAACAAAAATTTTACATACATGATAGTCTACATCGTATTCGTCTCCGTGATGTTGACCCAGACTCTGATGTTCGTTTACACTATAGCCCTCGAAACTGTGACCTTCAAGCCCATGTCCTTGAAAACTTTGACCTTCGAAACTATGACCTTCTAAACCTTGACCCTCGTATCCGCCGTATCCATATTCCGCCAGGACAGCTGTCGCCAAAATCACCAATGTTGCACATTTCTGTAAAAAATCAGATTTGATTAGTTTAAAAAACTGCTTTGTTTTGAATAAACTTTGATCATCCTGTATATGGATACAGATAAACTGCTAATCTCAAAATTTCAATGTCAATAAGAGAGACCTCAATATTTTTTATACAAATTGTTTTTTATAGAAATTTATAATACTAAAACAAATGTTTTTTTTTTAAATTTAAACACCCTGTATTAGTCACCACAAATCACTATGTCATACGGTTACATATGAGTTATGTGAGTTCGCACTTCAACTTTCCTTAGTCATTTCGTTGTTGAGTTACCGTTTCTTGCCTGCTCATTCATAAACGAGAGGTTTCTAGTCGTTTTAGAGGGTAAGGTTATGGCGGACGCGGAAGCGATTTTATTAAATAATATTATCTCTGTTTTGTCATAATGACAGAAATTACGATATTCTTTATACAGAGGTTTTGGAAACCCACGGTTAGTCATTTTAATATCATTAAATATATTTCGATTTTAAGGGTCTTTATGTATGATTTGTCTTTTGAATTAATTCAATTGTGGTAAATTTAATCATTCTGTATATATGTGAAAATAAAAACATGATGTATTATTTGTGATGCCCAATATCACTTACTTCAGTATTTGATCGTTTAAATTAACCAGCAATTTCTATCCTGATTTATCAATTAAAAAACAAAGATTTATAATTTTTTATTGAAAAAAAAACTTATCACATGTCAGTGTGTCAGCACCTTTACAATGCACATTAGCTCGCGTGTTGCGATCGTCACGCCAAATTATTTTCACTTTCAAACGCTTTTATGCTTTTCCATATTCGTTTGATTGATCATTTTTGATAACAAATGAAATTAAAGTGTTATAATAATATTTTTATTCGTTATTCGTTTGCGTTTCATCGTATTTAATGAGATATATTATAAAATAGAAGTTGGAAGCATTCGTTTACTTACAGGATTACATAACTTAGATAACTTTGACTATAGAGAAACGGACTAGACAGAGCCTTCGTTTAACTAAATACTTTTTGCTGGTTTTTGCCTATAAAGTGTTATATTCACTTACATATGCAAGCTGCATTTCATATTTATGAACGCAACTAAATCAAAAATATATAAAATTACATAACACGCAAACTTTTTGTTAACTTTTTTATGTATCGGACGGGAATATGTGTTTGACAGATCCTGTAACTTAATATTCAAAGTTATGTACGGACAGATAATTTTATTAAAGAAGGTCATTTCTTATATTAATATTTAACTGAATAGTAGCAATTTCATGTAAAATTTTCCGATGTGGAATAGTCGTGCATCGCATAGACACGCTTCGTTGCGTGTCTGTGATGCGTTTGACGCTGATTAAAGAATATGGCGACCATTTCCGCTGACGGTTTTTTAAACGGATTAGTGTTTCCGGAAGTTATGGTTCTACATTTAAAATCTAAAGAGAAAAATTTACACAATTATTTATTTCTTAATTAAACTATTTACGATATGCAATTGCATATGCGTTGCCTACCTTTCATTGAAGGAGGAGAGGATGCACAGAAATAAAATATTTTCCCTTTCCATGCATCCTCTCATCCGGAAAGTCCACTTCCACTTCCCATCCTTTTCTTTTAAGAAAAAGGGTGGGAAGGGAAAGAGGACCAAATTAGGCCTCCGTGACGCACACTCAGACTGTACTTGGAATTGCTTCCACCTGACGCCTGTCTTCTGTGTGGTCGTGGTATTTCACCGGGCGAGCCGGGACAATTCGTGCGAAGATGTTAAAGCGGACTCTACCACTGTTGTAATGATGTCAAGTTACATACAAGTTTCACGCATTAGTGCGTCGCGGCTGCAATACCTTGTTACATGTACCCATTAATCTGCATTGATCACTACAAACTACTATGCACTTGTTAATTCTTTAATAAGCAACTTGGTATTTCTTATGAGTTGTATGAAAGTAGGCTACAAAGTTAAAGGAAGACTAAAGAAGTATTGATTGTTTGGAAGAGGATATGACGCCTGATAGAGATGTATGGAAGAGTAATTAGTAGGAAAAGCTTATGATGAGGTTATTGGTTAGTATAAGAAACTTGGTTTTTAATAAAATATATTTTATTACATTTTGGGACAAGTTACCTAACAAGTTTTAATATCAACTATCTGTCGCGCGCGACTCAGTCAAAAATCTCTGTATAAAACAGTCGTCCCTATCGTTATCTTTTAAAAAACAGAGACACAATATAACTTAAACAGGGATTTTGATCTCGGAAATCCACAGATAAATAATAACAGAAAGAAAGAAAGAAAAAAGAAAGAAAAGTTTTTATTATAGGTAATACAGATTAAACCAAGAAACAATAACTAACATAATAAAATTGCAAATAACTATGAAATTAAATTAGACTTAAGTTACCATTTATGGTTAATTTGGATAATCTAGTGATGCCCACACTAGGCAATGCCTGTATCGTGGGCACCGATATTCAAATAGGTATATAATATTCAGTCCACAAAATTACAAAACCCACACTCACGACATTTTAGCATTTAACAATTATCAGTTTAATATTATATATATTATTATATTAATAATATAATCATACCAACTAACATCGCAAGTTTTCGATTGTTTTTCAATGTAACTTGAACTTAGATCTATCAGATTTATGGTGTTCAACTTAGCTTTATTATTAAGTGGAACAAAAAAATTTAAATAATAATTAAAAAACAAAACGTAAACCACATAAAAAACTCACATGTATAACAGTTAATTTTTAGTTATAACGTATAGCAGTTAAATTTAACTGTTACCAGTTGAGCCGGTGTAATGACTTATTTCTGGGTAATCAGTCAACTGACCAACCATACTATCTTACGTAATGGTATAGAACCAAGAAACTATCAGTTAAAAACTAGGAAGACTCGATGTTAATTGTTATGAATTAATTTATTTACAGTTAGACGATGTAAATCTGTGTCAGAATAATTTAATAAATTTTAAATTTTTTACTGTTATTACCTACTATTAGTAAATATTAAATTTAGTAATAAAAGACGTATTTTGTTTTTATTTTATTGGGCAGAAACTTTATAATACTGTGCAATAACTAATTAATTATAAAGTTTATTAAAAAATGTACAAGTCAAATGATATCTTGGATTATAAATTCATAATTTAAACATTAACTCGTCTAAAATATTTATCATATATTTTTAAAAGTAATTACGTAAATTTTGCGTTAACTACTAAATTATGCAATTCACAACAATGGTTAAAATTTGAATAAATGATATAAAAAATATAACTGGCACATAATAACATTAAAAAATACTCACAATCAATAAAGCCATGATGCACAAAAAAAGTAATAAAAAAAAGAACAAATTATTACGATGTACAAAGATTGAATGTAAAACGATTTACGTTTGCGCACGCACTTATACCCGAGAAATAGTTAATTCTGTCCCCCTCCCTCTTAGTATATTGGTCACTAGACCTAGAAGGGGGATACTAAGCTTGCAGACTAAATCTCTTTAATAATATATGAGTAATTTTTTAAGCAAGTCTTTCGAATTATATGTATAAGTTCAGACTTTGTAATCATGGTTTCGAATTCGTCATTTGAATATTTTGTTCCGTCTCTTAGCTTCACCGGATTATAGTAAAACTAGGTGTCGCCCGCGACTACTTTCGTGCGATATAAAAAATATTAAGTTCTTCCAGACTATGTTCTACATCTTTGCTAAATTTTATCACCATCCCTTAAGTCCTTCCGGGGATACCTTCAAATAAATATCCATCCATTCATCCATGTAAACATTCGCATTTATAATATTAGTAAGAAGTTGCAGACTTTAAGATCATGGTTTCCAATCCGTTATTGGAATATTTTGTTCCGTCTCTTAGCTTCACTGGATAATAGTAAAACTAGCTTCGCATGCGGCACTGTTCATGCGATATAAAAAATATGTTAATAGTCCACGTGTTCCTCCAAACTATGTTCCATATCTGTGCTAAATTTCATCGACATTCGTTTTGACGTTCTGGATATGCCTTTAAACAAACATAATAAACAAACATCTAAACATTCGCATTTACAATATTAGTAAGATGGGCTATGTATGTTCTAGATTTTAGACTTTTAGACTATTTATGAGTGTCTCAGAATGATTGAACCGATTTTGAAATTTTGGTATTCTTCCCTTGAGTGATAGGTCAGTCGGAAAATATGTAGACTACAGCCTGGAACAATACATAGGTACTACACTACACAATTATTTTTTTAAAATTTCACGCGGACAAAGTCGCGGGTGACAACTATTTTGTCATATGTATATTTTTTTTAATGATTAACGATAATCCATATATGCTGATATATTGTAAAGTAAGCCACTAAATCGATAGTTTTAAATTACGGCGGTAAATTGTAATTAGCATAATAGAAACAGGCGAGTGTTGGTGTTGAAGACATTTTTAATTGCAGTATATACGTCGCGGAAACTGTAAACAATGTTAAATGATATACGTTGTATTGTCGACATGGTAAATCGGGATTGTATATATTGTACGTTAAATAAAGGTGTGTATCGACTAAGATGAATTATTAATTAATATTATTTTAATTATTAATACGAATGTTTAGATGGATAGATGTTTGTTAGAAGGTATCTCCGGAACGGCTGTATGGATATTGAAGTTTGGCATATATGTAGAATATAGTCTAGAACACAGTGGCAATGCCCATTAATCTTGTTGAGGTTGTTTTGGGTAATTTTGCTGTGAAGTAACTTATCCGTAAAAAAATCCTACTAATATTATAAAAGCGAATGTATGGATGAATGGGATGGATGATTGTTAGAAGGTTATCTCCAGAACGGTTGCATGGATTTCGCTGAAAATTGGCAAAGATTCCTCATTGGGGAAGAAGAGCTTCTCAGTGGGGACGTATAGGAGTTGATGATGATAGAACATAATCGAGAAGATGACATAATACATAAACTCTCATCGTGAGTGTCTGAGACCTAAATCTTCGTTTAAAAACACATTCTTATCTCTCGTTTGACAAAGGTAACGACAGGGATAACGATATGTTTTATCCAGAGATTTAGGTCTCGGAAACCCACAACCCAGGGCGAGAGCGCCCTGTACATAAATTACTGGAACTACATCAGCTTTTAATTTCTTATTATGACATATTAAATAACATGAAAATGACACCTCACTTTAGAGTACACAGTATTACATAAAGAGATTCGTTTAAACATTGTCATGTCATGATGTTAGATTTCTCACTTTCGAAGCGCAACAGTTGAATCAGAACAGTTTTGTCAATGGTCATCTGTCGTATAAGACCTAGTACACACTAGTAATAGATAAGTGATTGCCATAGTTTGGATGATAACTTACTGTTGTTTTTTTATATTAAAAAGTGACAAACTACCAAGTGGCCACATAAATTCGCCGAAATGGTAAAGCGACCGGCAGTCCGGCCTCCGGTACTACACTCGTCATACGAAACGTGGAATTGCTTCCACTTCACGCCTGTCTTCTGTGTGGTCTTCCGAGACCAAACAGAAGACATTATTTTGACAATACATAGATAATAATATGTCTTAAACGGAGATTCCGATCTCGGAAAACAATGGGAAGTGCTGATAAATTATTTTGTTGCATCTTTTTAAATTCTAAATATAAAAATACACTATTTATTTTGGGTTGAAAAATAAAACTTTTTGACAACCCTAATAAAACTATATCGTGACGTTCGTTTTCGTCTTCATTGATCATTTTTACGCAACCAAATGTAGAATATAGAGCGGTCGTCTCGGGAAATGATCGAGATCTTCACGCATCTTACTGAATACCGGAAAAGCAGACGTCGATAATAACTCTGTCGGTTGCCAATAAAACCGACCTCTTTATTTAATCTTACTATTTATTACAACGATAGTAAATTGTTTTGTGCAACTTTACGCATGAGAATACTGATCTTACTGATATTATAATATAAATGCGAATGTTTAGATGGATGGATGTTTGTTTAAAGGTATCTCCGAAATGATGTCGATGAAATTTGGCATACTCGTAGAACATAGTCTGGAAGAACATATATATTACTAATTATGTTTTTTTTTAATTACCGGCGGACGGAGTCGCAGGCGATAGCTTGTATATAATAAAGTAAATATTGTGTTCGAAATACTAGCTATAAAGAAATGCTTTATCACTACATTTTCATGATAAAATATTTGTCATAGTGAAACATATATCTTGAGTATCTTACTTCCTAATATTTATATTATAAATGAGAAAGTTTAAATTGATGGATGTTTGTCATTACGTTTTTATAGACCAGCTGCATGGATCTCGCAAAAATTTGCCTAAAACATAGCTTGGAAGAAGGCGTAGGTGACTAATTAAGTTTATTCAATTCCGCGCAGACGGAGTCGTAGGCGACAGCTAGTTGTCAAATAATGTACGAATTGCAAAAAGAAAAATGTTCTAAATTATAAGATTATGTTATATTTTATTACATCTACTAAGATAATTAAAAATAATAACATAATAGTAACGTAAATCGTATAGATTGATTATAAAGTATTAGTAATTAATAGCGTAGCAATTGGTGCGGACATATCTTGATTGTTCATTACGTGAACGTTGTATTTGGAACGCATCGCATATTTACGTAACGCCAACAAAACAGTTGAATATACGAAAAATATAAACTAACTGTCGCTCGAGACACCGTTCGTGCGGAGATAAAAAACTTAATTAGTAGCCTATGTGTTCTTCCAGACTTTTTCTGTTTTAACAAGATCCGGTACGCGGTCTTGGGAATACTTTCAAAAAGTCATCCTTCAATCTATCCATTCAAATATTCACATTTATAATATTATTAAGATAATAAAAAGTAAGATTAGTAAGGTTAATCCAAATTCTTAGACAAATTTCTGATGGTGATTGGAATAAGAAAATAGAGATCTCAAGAGCACGCTATGCCATTTCGTTGCATAAAAGAGAAAATAAGAAGCGATTTAAAAGATAGATATTGACGTTATAAATTGTTAAATGTTCAAAGGAATTTTCCAAAGGTACGTCTTGAAAAGAATAGGAACAAGTTGGCTGCGTTACTATGTTCTTCAAGCATGACGTGGGTTTCTTCAATAGTAGAATTTATAGGCTTATTAAACTAGTCTGTTTTATTAAAAAGTAAAAGACTAGATTTCCTTGACACTGTCATAACATTGAAGAACTGAAGATCTTACACATAAATTCGTTCCCTAAAGATTCACGAACTACTTCTACGAACTTCGCTCGGCAATTCAGAGCGAGACAGATGTATGGGGGTACATGAGAGCACTATACTGCTACGTCATCGCTCAGTTCCAACTGTTCGTACCATTATATTACTTAATACATGCAATTTTATTAACTTTCTCCAGTTCAGCGAACGCTAAGAAGTGGGAAGTGGAGCTAGCAACACTGAAGAGTAACAATCTTCGTCTGACCGCCGCGCTGCAGGAGAGCACCGCCAATGTGGATGAATGGAAGCGCCAGCTGCACCAGTACCGCGAGGAAGTAGCCCGCGCACGGCACTACGCGGGGAAAGGTGAGTGACACGACATACAGGACACCTGGTGGGAAAGAGACAGAGGTAGAAGTAGAGAGGAATAAAAACATAGGAAATGCTTATCTTACTAATATTATAAATGCGCATGTTTGGATGGATGTTTGTTTGTTTGAAGGTATCTCTAGAACGGCTGTATCGATTTCGCTAAAATTTGGCATAGATGTAGAACATACTCTGGAAGAACACATAGGCCACTATTTAAGTTTTTTTTTAATACTACGCGGACGGAGTCGCGACACCTAGTAATCAATAAATCTTAAAACTATAGGACTGACTTCTATAATGTTTGTACTATAAAATATTACGATGTTGATTTGCAGGTGGCGATGCAAACGAAGTTGAACAGCTGCGGCAGCGCGTGGCGCAGCTGGAGGCGGAATTGGCGCAGAAGAATGAGGAACTGGCACAGATCACCAAGTCCAAGAAGAGTGAACAGGTCAGACTTAAAACTAAACATTAGACACTATTACTTAGAAAAACATTCTTAACTTTTAAATAGTATTATATAAATATTAATATTAAAAATGCGTATCTTTAGATGGATGGATGGATGTTTGTAAGAAGATACTTCCAGAACAGCTACATGGATGCTACTAATTAGGATTAGTTTTTAATACCGCGCGGATGGAGTCGCGGGCGATGGCTATTATACCATACTCAAATATAAGTTCTTCACTATTACTTGTGTAGATGTTCGTTGGTAATGTAAATACGACTTTATTGTATAGGACGCAGAGGCTAAACTAGCTCAGAGTCAGCTGGAGCTGGCGCTGGCGGCGCAGGATGGGCAGCGCCAGGTGCTGCAGGCCCTCAACGACCAGCTCGCGAGGCAGCTTGAGGAGCTCGTGAGTTACAATATATAACTTGTGTACATTGATTTAGGGTACATTTCCAATGTCATATATCTGGTCCTTTAAGCCGGATGTTTTAAAGAAAATATCAATAAGTGTCATTTTAAATATATGCTTTGACTAGTATTTTAAAATTGCCTTTGATAACGACTGCTCACTAAAACGAGGACTAAGCACTCTCTCAGTGCCACTCAGAGTAGTGAAATGGTCACTGAGAGCACCGCTTCACTCAGAAAACTACGCTACATTGCATACGACATACTTTAGTAAATTTAATATGTTTGTTTTTTCAGTCGACGATCCATCGCGAGATAAACACCGCGTTGCAAACATGAGACGCGGCCTCGGTGCAGCCGCCGCCGATATACGCGGCCGTCAGCAAGGAGCGCCGCGCCGCACTACCCCTGCTGCTGCGCGCACCTCTACCCCTACCCCTGCCTCTACCCGCACACTCTGCAGCCCAGCACGTCTACAGCGCCACAAACCCCGCACTATCAGCAGCTCAGCATGTCTACAGTACTGCGAACCCCGCCCACTCGGCTCAGCACATCTATAGTGGCGCAAACTCCGCTCACAGCGCCGCTAACCCCGCCCATTCAGTCCAGCACATCTACAGTGGCGCTAACCCAGCACAACACGTGTACGGTGTTCCCCCCACCTCTACAGTGCAGCTGCCGCCAAACCCCGCCCATGGTGCCGCTAGCCCCGCCTACTGCAGCGCTCAGCCTGCCCCCGCCCCCGGCCCCGCCCCCGAGCCCGCCTACGTCACGCTCAAAGCGAAGAAATGAAGAGTGCTTTCGGTATTTCGAAAGGTGCATGAGTTCTTTTAAATTATTGTATGTTGTATATTTTCTGTACTATGTCTTGTTACTTTATTTTAGTTGTAAAGGGTCGGGCGTTTTTAAAATTCCGCGTTACGTCACTATTATATTATATTTTCTTGTCTTAAATAAATAGTTAATTATAATAATAAAGATTTTCATAGTAAATGTGAATCAAAGGTTGTATTCCAGTAACGTTCGCACGATGCAATAGTTGTTTGTAGGTTTATGTCACCGATATATTGTCAAATTCGATGTTTTATAATCTGGAGAAAAACTGCAAGTAGGTAGCGATAGTCAAGAGTGGCGACTCTACTTTTTTGATAAATTTTGACAGATGACAGGCGTGTCAACTGTCAACTTTCAACTGTCAACTGTCTAAATTTTTTTTCCTCATTCTAGCAATTTCAAAAATATGGATATTATTCCTTTTTTCAATAGTTAATTTACGAACTATTTAAAAATTGCTTGTTTATTAAATTGTTTTTTTTTTAAGTGAAAATTGATAGAATTAGTTTCACAAGTACTAGTTGAATAAAATCAGTTTTTCTCCATATTAAACTAGGCGTATAAACTCGACAAATCTTGTATAAATCACAATTCGATAGTTTATAATATCCCTAGTCGGATTATAAATACGAAAACAGTTGGTGACATTTATTTCAATTAGTAAATAAAAATACTGACAAGTAATTTTTCTTGATAGTAATTAAATAAGATTTTTTTTATACAGACCTTAAAGTCTGTTATTGAGGCTTGATCTATTATATATTTACCACCGATGCTTAATATATATTAATTTGAATTTATTTTAAGGTATATAATACTTTTGGTTAGTTTTTACTGATGGTAAGCAGTTAAATAAAACTGCAGTTTAATTTTAAACAACAACGGTAACATTATGGTCACTAAAGACAGATAAGTGTAGATTTACTATCAGAAAACTATCCTAAGGGATTGCTAAGTACTGATAAAAGATTATATTGACATTATTAAAAAAATATAAAAGCAAATATGGAAAAAAATCCTAAGATTTACTTTTAATGAAATTCTATTAAGATCTCATAAAATAATGATAAATTACAGATTTAACTGTATTTAATATTTAATTTACTAAATCGTAATTTGTCTCGTCATTTAAGAAATTAACCGTCGGTTTCTGAGACATAAATCTCCGTTTATAAACATATTATTCTCTCAATCTCTCTGTTTGGTTTCAATGATATGGATAACGATATGTTTTATATAAAGATTAATGGAAAGAAAGTAAGACATAATATACCAAATCAACTAGAGTCAACACATGCGATGCTATTACGAAGTTTTCGTAAGTGAACTCGCCAGCCGAGTTAGCGCTGAACGTGTTTGGAAAATATTAAATAATTGGTTAAGAAAAAGATAGATATTGTGTTCTATTTCATGATTATGACGTTCGCGGTGTTTCATTTTGAAAACATAAGCAAGTATAGACCCGCCCTTTTGGAATCATTTTTTTATAACTCCGGCAAATGCCAGTGAAGAAAATAATTGTCGTGACATTTTAACGTTTAAAAGATATATATCTTTTATGTTTGTAGTAAATTTATGTAAACTTAACGTATTATGTAATATAAAAGTGTTTAAAATCCAGCCGTCATGGCATTTATTGCTAAGTTTCTTTACAATTTAAAAAGAAATATATTATTTCATTATTTGGTAATTAATCTTTGATATGGCAACATTACCAAACGTCAAATAATCCTACTAAATATTACCGATTGTATGAAAACGCGTTGAATATGCCAAAAGTTATAAAGCACTTAGATTTTGGAATGCATCGTTTAGACGTAGGCGTTTGAAATCTGGCTGCACTATGAAATACCGAAATAGAATCGAAAGCTTCAGAAACTAGAATGTTCCCAATTAGTTCAGTGACAGGCTGTGCCGTGTCTTAGAGTATTCCTAAGTCTATGGTTAACTTTCGTGTATTTTAGAAATGGTATAGCGTGAGCATATACTTTTATTTTATGGATATTAAAGATATCCATATCCATCAAATATGGATATGGATAGAAAATGGATACGAAATAATATATATTTTTTTGTTTTTCGAATTCCTTGTGCTGCCAATACAATAACAGGAATTCAAAATATTAGTAAGGTTTAATAGCTGGTTTTAAATTTTCTTTATATGTATTCATTTATTTAAAATAAAAAAATTATACAAAATATATTAAAAAATAGAGCACCACCGGCTGCGGAGTCCCATGACTCAAACAAGCAGTGGTGAGGGCTGCAGACAGGAACCTTCGCACGATGCGTGCGGTTTCTAGGATAACTGACTTTTGTATCGGGCCCTTACTCCAACTGTTTAGCGAAAGCTTCTTGAGATGTTGGTCGGAGCTCTTCGCTATCAGTCCATTCACTGATACGGCTATCGGAAATATTTTCTTAATTTTTATTTATTTTAACTCCTTTTTTTAATTGAATGAACTACAAATTAAATTAAATTTCGACATTTTTTATATTGTTTACATCTTTTTATTGTTTTAAATTTTGATGCCTCCGTTTTTTTTTGGACATATTGTAGAGATCGTGTTATGACAGGTATATGCTCTTGCTTTACTGTATGTCTCTGGTTACACTTGAGGCCAGAAAAAATGTATACACTCGAATAAATTAAAATTATGTAAGTAAACGATTTGGACATTTAGTATATAAGATTATATACTTATATAGTAATAAATGTAAGATTTATGTATTTATAATTGCGATATTTGCCTTTAGGTAAATTTTGTTTAAAAATTTATAATATTTATTTATAAAATTTATTACTAATGTAGATGTAATTCCTGCGTGGAATTTTTATTTAATCGAATTAATTTATATGAAAAACAAGCTTTATTTAATTATAATTTAAGGTTTAATTTTATTTGTATATTATTTCGTTGTTTTTTTCTTGACTGTCTATTAGAATATAATTAATATAATATAATGTACATTACCATTCCTAGTCGATAAGTAATATGACAACTGCATTTGTCAACTCCCGTGGTACGTAGGTTTTTTTTTTATTTTCCTTGCAATTTCAGTTAAAAACCCTGTAACGCATAGCACCCTTAGCAAATTAGTGACGTCTTAACAGGTGGAGGTGACCTCACATCGTGACAAAATGACAAGAATCATGACAGTTTTATGGTACAATAAGAACTAGTTCCATGGTTAACCTTCATCCGTCAAAACGTTTGAATAATGGAAACAAATGATATCATTGAAAAAGGCTGAGGACACAATTTTTAAAATATACAATGTCTTCTAAACAGGGTAATTTCGTTTACTGTTGTGTACTTTTTGAATAGTGAATTGTTATTCGATTTTTACTCTTATCTACTGGACAGTAAAGTACATAATCTTTGAAAACAGTTCTCATAATAAATCAAAGAGTATAAACAAAAGTAATAAAAACCTTTGATTAATTAATTTATTTAATTGGACACACGTGTGCACGCGATGAGATTTCGTAACAGAATGACAAAAGCCAATCATGACGTCATAGAGAATTTGTTTTTTTTTGTTTATACTCTATGGTTTTAATTCTAAGCTTTGATTGACAAATGAAGGCATAACGTTAGATGACGTTACACTGTGCTGTTATAAAAAAAAATAATTTTAACATAGTATTATACATGAACAATTATTATTTGTTAGTTAAATTAAATAAAAATATAGTTGTAGTAAATCAATCAAACATAGAGGACACTATTTATTTGTACATGTAACACATAGAAATAGTCAGATGTTGGTGTTTTGAAGTGTATAGTAATAGTTAACATAAGTGTTATTTTGATGGTCATTTGAACCGTAATAGAGTTAAACTTGTATAAAAACGGCTAAACACTTACGTATATTCGTCCGGTGGCGGCACCGACTAGTTTGGAGCCCATCGGGGCCCCTCATCAGGGTGAGTGGGACTGGTATTATTTCGCGGACAAGGCCCCCAGCTCACTGCGCTCCTGCGTTCAAGTTTCAACATCGTCAACGCCGGCGCACCCCGCGCTCCACTCCCCCTCATGACGTGCCCTAAGAGCGCAAGCGCGCATGGACCGACGGGCCGCGTCCGCGAAATAATACCAGTCCTACTCACCTTGATGAAGGGCCCCCGATGGGCTCGAAACTAGTCGGTGCCGCTACCGGACAAATGTAAGTGAATGTTTAGCCGTTTTTTTATATAAGTTTATTATAATGTCTCACGAAAGTTTGAATAATGTAATAGAGTTAATGTAATCTGGCTGGGAGATAACATTGCGAATAAATTTGAAAATAAAATAATATCAAATTGTGAATTAATAATATTTAATATAATATACCGATAATTTTGGCCCAAAGTGTATCGCCCACCGATTCTCATACTTTTGGAGTGCCAATGTTTACCACCAAACGATTCCCTTTGGCCCATATGGTTATAAATGTTACTGTTTGTTTGTAAACGCTATATAGTGTGTAATTATTATATAATATTGTAAAAGGCTGTGTTGCATTTGCTACTCTATTACCGTAACATAAGACTCAAAATCAGTTTTTTTTTGTAAGCATAACATTAAAGTAATGCTGGCAACATTTTTGCTTGTTGTTACCAGTTTCTAAATTAAATATTGAACATTAAACGATACTAATACTTGGGAAATATAAATATTTATGTAAATTTTATGTGTTATGTTTAATTCAAATTAAAGCGTCAATAGCCTAATGGTTAAGAGTACTCTTACTCTTATCCGTACGGACATCCGATCGCAATGTCGGGGGTTCGAATCCCGCCATTCGACTAATTTAGTATTGTTAGATACAATAGGACAAACCGAATGATAGAAGTACTAGATAAAAAGATATCTATAATCTGTGTGTTCTTAATACTAGATAACATTGTCATACTTATTTTTCTCGTTGAAAAAAACTCTGGTAACTTATGTTTTTATATATGTTTTTCTGTAATGAAAACTCAAGAGTTTTGTCGACAGTTGGTGTAAATTTTTCATATATACGAAAGTTTTTTTTTTTTAATTTATTTTACAAATGCAACGCAGTCTGAAATGTATGTTAAATCTTCCATTAGGATTGTAGTCGCTGTGAGCTACCATATGCATATAATATTAAATAATATAAATATCGATTATATTTTGTTTTTTTTTATCCGGCACAAGTGTTTAAATCTTAGCAGAGATGAAAATCTATGATGAATAGAAAATAGTGGTAGAGTCTACGGCAATACGGTTTGACAGGTGCAATACTACGAACACGCAAAGAGGTAAGAAATAAAAAAATCTACGTTTCGTGTCATAAATATTTTGTGCTGTTTATCTTCCCTTCTCACCATTTTCCTATCAAGTAAGAATGCAGTCCTCGTAAATTATTTTGCCCTTCGATCAAGTTTTATAAAAAATACCCCAATTACATGAATAGTGTTGACATTAAAGTAGTCTACTAATTGCTGTCCGCGCTTAATTAAAAAAAAACTTAATATTTGTTTATCCTAAGCTATGGTCTACATCTCTGCCAAATTTCAGTGAGATATATTCAGCTGTTATGGAGATTATTTCTAACAAACATCTATTCATAGATACAATCGCTTTTATAATATTAGAAAGTAAGATAATATTTTAAAATAAAACTTATTTTACTTATAAGTTGTCAGAATGCAGTAAGAATGTGTTAATTCTTACGAGGGGCGTAAATTTAAAATGGGCGCGTTCCTCCTGGGGGCCATTTTCGAATCGATTTCCCAAAGCGCATGTCACATTTCCCGCCTTTTCGGCAGTAATTGTGCGGCCGGCGTTGAGAGAGCACGTCGCTATCCAAACGCGTATTAGTCATTAAAATTCAAACGTTTTTCTTAACAATAAGTGTGAAGTAATAGTTGTTAATATTATTTAATTGTGTAAAGGGGAATTTGATGAATAAAATAAAAACGTATTCGAGTTACTAATGTAACATTATTGTAATTTTTTCGTGTGTTATCGCGTAGTTTTCGCTAACGTCTTGGTTGTTTGACAGAAATCGATACTGTTTATTATCATCGTAAGTATAATTTGTTTTTAATTGTCTTAAAATTTTAAGAATAATTAGTAATCAAATGAAATTTAATTAATTTTAATTTAGGGTTTAATAAAGGTAAATACGATAACAATGGATGTGTTGTTAATTATTAAATGCGAATTATAGAATTCAATTTTATAAAATGATTCGCTGTATTTTTTTAGGTTATTTATTTGACATGTCTTTTACTTTATTATCAATAATTATTTAATTCGTATTGTATTTTATATTTTATAAATCAAGCATTTAGTTTTTGTTTGTATAATTTAAGTGAAAACAGTTTTATTTTAGCAATTTATTATATTAATATTGTTAAATACATCTACCATACTGACGTAATTCTAAGAAGCCCGAAATACACATTTTCTATTACGTTTCGTAAAGCGTGAGAAAATGATTACAAAGATTTCACACTATCATACGAAATGGTTCTTTGTTCTACTTTTCAATTGTTTATTTAGTCTGTAAAATATCCAGATCTATGCTAAAGTTTGTGCATTTTTTATCTGTTGCATAATTTTTCGAACGATATCATTCTTTGTTTATTTTAGAATCCACGTTGTGGGTATTTTATAACATAATTGTTATTTAAAATCCGAAATCATTATAAAGATAGAACGTAATTAAAAAGATATTTAGGTAATTTTGTTTAAATCGTTATTCGACCTTCTATTACATATTTTTAGGTTATCCAAAAGGTAAATAAAATAAATCTAAATACAATCTTATGTATATATAAAAATAGGTATTAATTTTAAAAACTAAATAATACGAATACGACAAATTATTTTCCAGTCAATCAGTTAACCAATATCACCAAACTATTAAATTTCTTTCTGACTTTTCATACATTTAATGCGTAAATAAACTCCAAAGAACGAAGCGCTTGAATGACCGAGTCAATTAATTATCTTCATACTTGAGAGACGCAGGCAGAGAGCTGTAACCGCCAATTTCCTGGCAGATAATTGCCAGCAATTCGCTGACTACGCTCCTCTTAATAAAGAAAGGGATTACATTCGACCACATATTGACCGAGATAACGTACACGTAACTAGATCTTTGTTTTATTGATTTACTTTTTATAATGACCTGAAAAGGCATTTACGATTTCATTACGATACATTTGTAGCAGACCGTAGAAGTTATGTAGAACTTCCTGAAAGGTGGATTACCGTAAATTTCAACTGGAGAAATATTAAAAAGAAATCGTTTTAGGTTTAGTATTTAGATCTTTTTGGCAATAGAGACGTATGTCAACAAAGATACTTCTACTTTTCTGCCTTTTTTCTTATAAGGAAAGAATGGGAAGTGGAAGTAGACTTTCCTGAAGAGAGGAAGCATGGAAAGGGAAAAATATTTTCTTTCTGTGCATCCTCTTCTCCGTCCATTAAAGGTAGGCAACGCATATGTAATTGCGTATGTCTATGGGCAACGGTCACTTCGCTATTTCAGCGATTTCAGGTGGCCGCTCGCTCGTTTGTTTATTGTATAAAAAAAGATGTGTAAGAGAAATTATATAGATATTTAACAGTGGGTTACTTAGACCAAAATTTCCGTTTAATCCTATTATTATCTCTATTTTGTCAATTTTTTTGGTCTCGGAAACTTAGTAATACTTTTTAAAATATGAATTTCAGATACAATCGTACGCATTTCGTGAAAAAATCAAGAGCATTTCTCATCCGTTACACTTCGATGATTAAATCCTTTGATGTTACTGAAATTGGGGCAAATTCATTGAGACATGTTTTCAATACGTCTGTTTGAATTTATAACTTCGTCTATTTTGAAATATTGGAATTTCACCTGTCGAAATTCAAACTATTGTATAAACCATATTGTTATCCCTTTCATTTTATTCTAAGAAAACAGAGATAACAATATGTACAATCCAATATGGATGGAACAGTTCAAGGGACCCTGATATAGGTTTCGCTCTAACTAGAGTTTCTCGCTTACGGAGGTTGTCCGTAGGGACACAACGAAGACTCCCGCTTAAAGGTTCCTCGCTTATCCACTTCCATATCTTAATCAAGAATAAAAAACAGCGGAATCAGACTCGCATTATTTAAAAATAGATTAAAATCATTGCTTAACGAGAAAGCTTTATATTCGAAGATTTTTCTGAGTTTTTTTGTAAATAATTTTATAACATGGAATTTAAATATTATCAACAAACTGTATTGTGTTGTAAAAAGTCTAGGTGCGTTCCAGTGCTTCGTTATACATAACTTACATATGCGCAACTAAGTTCCACATTTTTCCGCATATGAAGAGGGTTTATTCCTGGTTATGTTATCCAAGCATTTCGTTGGTGGATGTTTTTGTGAAAATAAATTATTACTTAATCTTATATATAAAATTCTCGTGTCACAATTTTCGTTCCCATACTCCTCCGAAACGGCTTGAACGATTCTCATGAAATTTTGTGAGCATATTGAGTAGGCCTGAGAATCGGTCAACATCTATTTTTCATCCCTCTAAATGTTAAGGGTAGTCCACCCCTATTTTTTTTTTATTTTTTAGATAAACACGCGGACGGATTCGCGGGTGACAGCTAGTAATACTATATAATGCAGGAATATATTAATAAAGTTAATCTTAAACATGAGTATAAAAATACCATTGTATTAATCTCAGATATGCTGTACATATCTTGTACGATGTTATGCAGAAAATATGTATCACACGAATATTCCGCCCAGCCAAATGGAAAATATGAAATTCACAGCGGGCCGTTGCAAGCGAATAACCTAGTGCTGGGAATTAAATAGTTTTTACGTATAACTTTACGCGTCAACGCTTTTTATACGTGACTAGCAGTTGCCCGCAACTTTGCGTGGATTAAAAAATATTAAATAATAAATATAGCCTATCCTCCGGGGATAGTGTAGATTCCCAATAGTGATTTTTTTTTAATTCCGTTCCGTAGTTTCTAAGCCAAATCAATGGGCGAACGAAATATTTTATAATGGTTCAGTTATTGCTGAGGTATAAAGGTATCTTGCGATTTATTTAATTTATTTCTTGTAGAAATTTCTCTTACTTTTCTCGAATACTAGCGATCGCACTCGACTCTGTTCGCGCGGAATTATAAAAAAAAAGATAATTAGTAGCCTATGTGTTCTTCCAGACTATGTTCTATATGTATGCCAAATTTCATTGAGATCCGTTGAGCCGTTCTGGAGATACCTTAAACAAACATCCATCCATTTAAACATTCAACATAATACCACTAGCTGTCGCCTGCGACTCCGTCCGCGCGGAATTAAAAACTTAATTAGTTCTTAAACCTATGTACTAAATCTATGACAAATTTCAGCTAGATCCTTGCAGCGGTTCCCGAGTTACCTTAAAATAAACATCCATCCATTCAAACATTTGCATTTATAATATTAGTAGCAGTAAGATAAACTTTATGTAGATACGTGTTAGGAGCAGACTCGATGTAACACGGTTAAGCTGGAAACATTTATCATGCCTAGTTAATCAAATTGACACGCGGCCAGCTCGTCCCGGAGAACCTAATTGCGTTTGCACTTTAACATTGCTTGGAGAAGTAACGTCCAGTTTTAATATTTTAACTAAAGAGTTTATCTAAAAATCTTCAAGATTTGATTTATACATAACATTTGAAAACATTAGTAAGCATTTAAATTACTATTAGTGAGGCAGTTAAATTTTATAACCTAATGGCAGTTAAATTTTACATCTACACTTAAATTTGTGCATGACTGATTTTGTTCCCCTCTTATTGGACGCCTTACGCAAATAATGTGTCCTTTAATTTAGTTGTTAGTTATAAGGGCTTGATTTCCGCAACTCAACGATTGGCACGTATTTAACGTGTGAGCTGGATCCGGATTTACTCCAACCAGCCATACTCTCTTAAAAATTCCAGCAACATTTTGATGTCGATGATTTGTGGGAGTGTTCTAAGAGATCTAAGATATTTTACCCGTCCTTTATTCGTCCAAAAAATCTTTAAGTTAGACTTGTCTATAACAAAGCTATTTTCAATATTAATATTTAACAAAAAATCTTTAAAACAATATCAATAATCAAATCATCATCATCCACTCACTATACGTCCCCACCGAGGGACTAGGCACTACCCTAAGTTAGGAGTGACCAGGTCACAGTCAACCACGCTGGTCAAGTACGGGTTGGTTGACATAATAATCAAATAATATCATAAAAAAGAAATACTTGCTATCGCCTATTCATTATTATCATTGTCAGCCTGGATTCGTCTACTGCTGAACGTAGGCTTACCCCATTGATTGCCACAATGTCCGGTCCTGCGCCGAAGATTCAATTACAATCAACAGAGTAATTAAAAAATAAACTTTTAGCGATAGTTTCACTAGTATTAAAGTTCTTTGTACAAGCCGGCTTTGTTGTATAACAAGCGTTTACTTTGAGCTTTGGCTTCACGTTGCATGTGGACTGTCTGAGCTTAACATATACCATGTATATACGTATGAAACTAGTTTGCTGTAACATATACTATGCCATTTTAAAAAGAGAACAACGCATGTCATATGTTTTGCCGAAAGTTTTTTAGAAATATTTTTGTCATTTTCTGTCTGAAAAAAAAAAAACAGAACACATTTTAATATAATAATTGTTGATAAAATTAAATCATATTATTACGCAATTAAAGAGCTTCATTTAAAACTAAGAATTTTGTAGATTTCTTGGGCATAAAAAGCTTTTTTGGTTTCCTCAGAAATCTCAGTTTCTGGTGTCTGAAAGAGGATATGCGGAAATTATACCTTTTTCGGATTTGTTGGAGGAGGAGACGCGTAAAGTTAAATATTCTCTTTCTGTGTATCTCCTCGTATGTCGCAACTACGAAGATAGGCAATGCGTCTGCAATTTCGGATGTCTATCCAGCGGTCGCTTTGCTTTCAATGAATCAATTTTTTCGCTTGATCGTTTGCCCTCTTCTCCTCATAATATACTATGCCGATACTATTTAATTTTAGACGTTTATTAGAATCCTTTGGCTAGAAGCCTTTGGCGCGAATGGCACGCTTTCGTTACCAAGTCAAGTGTCAGATTGATTAGTGAGGTAAGGTGAGGTGAGTTGATAAACGATGACATTTTAATAAGGCTAGTGTTGCGCCGATACACCGACACAGTGTCGGATTTTCTTCCTAACAGTAGCCCTGTCTGTTGCCATGAGTTGTTTCAGATGTCGATAGTAAAAAGATGGTGGTAAAGTAATAAAGGCATGTAGTTACGTGAGAACTATAACGCGAAGGGGAAAACTGTGACGGTAACTCGTAAATGCTATTTCTAATTTATACAGTGGCGAAATAAACTGTTTACAAACTAGTATTTGTTTTCTAAACTACGAAGAACTTTGTATACGTAAACCAAAGACTTATACTAGCTATAGAGTGGACATTATTCAGTCATTTAACAATTTATAACATAATAGATATATGCTATCGCAGATTTTTATATAGCAAATTTAAAGAGCTACAATTCGTTCATACATAACTTTTTACGTAAATCCTATAGTTTAGCCTCCATAAGAGAAGAATGCAAAAAAGTCTTAAATTTTCGTCACGCATTTTTAACTTAAAATCAAAATACACTAAACTTCTAGTCAGTTTAAAAATTATTAAAAAAATGGGAACAACCAGCAAGCAAAATCTTCCGATCAAAAAAAAAATCAAATTCAGAGCACCAGGGCCAGAGTTACGCGGTAACACACAAAAACAAAAGAACATACAGACGAATTGATAACATCCTTCTTTTTCAAGTCGGCTAAAAATCGACAGGCATTATAAATGTTGGACGTTATTAAAAATACAAAAAACATCATGTGTCCGATGTTTTCTGAATATTACATACAAACACTCCAATTTTATTTATCTTACTAATGTTATAAATGCGAATGTTTAGATGGATTGATGTTTCGAGGTATGTCCAAAACGGTTGAATAGATCTCGCTGAAATTTGGATTACATATAGAACATATTGGCTACTAATTAAGTTTTTTTTTATTTCCACGTGTATGGAGTCGCGGGTGACACCTAGTTTATTTATAAATGAAGAAATATCGTTAGAATACGTAGTTACAAAGATATATAACTAAACGTATACCCTCTCCGTTATTACAGACGTGTTCATCCATTCGTTACGCTGTCGATTTAGTAAATCCTAGAGGATTTAACCATTCTATCCGTATTGGACCGAATGAGATATTATTTTAGTAGAAAACCATTTTTCATACATTTTCAAATGTAGACTTTAGAAATATAAAATGTTTTTAGAACTTTAAAATACATGTTGTTACTAGTTGTCGCCCTAATTCTGTCCGCGCTGAATTAAAAAAAAAACTTAATAAGTAACCTTTATGTTCTTCCAGACTATGTTCTACATCTATGCCAAATTTCAGCAATTTCAATGTAGCCGTTCTGGTGATACCTTCTATTAATCCATCCAAATTGCATCTTACTAATATTTTAAATTACTACCCACGAGAGGGGAAGAGAAACAAAGGAAGACAGGTAAAGAGGTGGGAAGACGACTTCAAAAAAATTGTAGGTCGTTTATGGATTAGAGAAGCTAGGGATAGACAGAAATGGCAATCTTTAGAGGAGGCCTTTGTCCAAGGACAAGCTGTAGATTTAGGATAGCAGTCGCCGGGTCAAAACATTTTTTTTTGATACTCAATATCACTTACTGTTAGTGTAAATAAAAAAAAATGTATTAAAAATTTGTAAAACTAATTTATCTTCAGCAATAAAGGCTTTATTATTATAAATGCGAAAGCTTAGATAGATGGATGAATTGATTTTTTTTTGAAGGTACCTACGGAACGAATTCACGGATTTTGATGAAATTTGGCACACATGTAGAATATATCTGGAAGAAAACATAGGCTACTTATTAAGTTTTCTTTTAGTCCGCATGTTTATATTATTAGTAATAAGAAAGGTTAATTTTGATTTTTGACATTTGGACAGAGTTAAAGTCACGTTATGTCGTTAAACAAATAAACGACTTTCAAGTACGAAATTAATTAATTTTATGATATCTTTATTTGCGTCGCTATTGCCTCCGTATTCGTGTCAAGGTTTTGAATATTGAAATACGTTTGAGGGATATAATGACGTCATAATAGCGGATGACATAATCGTATCAAAGTTTATTTATTCAAGAAATATTCCGGTATATTAGGAAATATTACTAATATTATAAATGAGAATGTTTTGATGTTTATAAGAAGGTATCTTCAGAACGTCTGCACTGATCTGTTGAAATTTGGCATAGATGTATAATATAGTCTGGAGTAACGCATAGGCTACTAGGCGACAATTAATTTCATTGTTAAAAAGCTGCCGTCCGCGATTGACAAAAAATTAGTAGCCTATGTGTTCTCCAGACTATGTTCTACATCAAATTTCAGCGAGATCCATGCATCCATCCATCTAAACATTCGCATTTATATTATTAGTAAGATTGATTATCATTATTATATTGGCGTGTGTGCGAAGAGTATTCACATGTGTCCACACCCCGGTTAACAGTGAGTCGAGGGAACCAGAGGGGGTTTAGTGGGTAGGCTCCTTGTCGCTTTAGGGATGTGGAGAGAGTCCCACATAACAGGAGTGGCTTTCCCCGAGGCACCCGGTATGCGTAACGCATTCCCCCTCTTAAAAAAAGGCTACTATATTGGCAACGCATCTGCGGTTTCTCTAACCTTGCAGATGTCCATGGGCGTCAATGAACACCTCGGTGTTCTTGCTGCTCGTTTGTCCCCTCATCTTATTTAAAAAAAAAAACGAGCGGACAGAGTCGCGGGCGACAACTAGTCTTTTCCATAAAAGCATTTCTTTTTCTTTTTCGTTATAAGTGAATGTAAAATTGTGAAATCTTTGTGTCTGAACACAAGTAAAATTATAACGGGACTTCCGTAAATAGATTAGCAAGGACTATCGTATTACGAGTAATTGTCGTATTTGCGTCATTTTGAGGTATTTAAAGCGTTTTATAGATCTGTTATGTTGAAGAGTTTCAGTTTATTATTCATAAAACAATCGCCAAACATTAACCAAGTAGTCAGGCTACATAATACACAAGGCTACATAATACTAATTATTTAGTACATAAATAAAATTAGTATAAATATTATAAACTAGTTGTCGCCCGCGAATCCGTCCGCGTGAGTATATAAAAAACTAAATTAGTGTAGCCCACCCATCCATCCATCCACATCACATCCATCTAAACATTCACAAAAAAAAGAATAAATAGTATCTTATGTCCGTCTCCTGGCTCTAAGCTACCACATCCATATATACATATATGGATGTCGTAATCAACGGAATTACATGACGTTTGCGTTTCCGAATGAATTATTCCATGTTAAGGTCACATTTCAATTCTCAAGAGTGCAGTCCCCGATACTGTAATTAACGTCTAATGCTATCCATTTTCATTTGATGACATGTGACAGTGTACACGGGGAAGATTCTTTACAATTATCGAGTTTATTTAAACTGTACGTGTATTTACACGTAAAAACATTTTTGCAATTAGCGGCTTATCCTGGCTTTTCACGGTTAAATATTTTGTAAACAGGTTACTTACCGTAATAACGGCGAAATAATTTTTTAAATCAGTGTTACAATTTTGAAGTTTATTTACCACTAGTTGTCGCCCGCTATTCCGTTCGCGCGAAATTAAAATAAAACTTTATAAGTAGCCTATGTGTTCTTCTAGACTATGTTCTATATGTATTCCAAATTTCATCGAGATCCGTTCAGTCGTTCTGGAGATACTTTCAAATAAACATTTATCCATCTAAACATTCGCATTTATAATATTAGTAAGATAAAATTTAATTAGTAACCTAAATACAATAATTATGAATCCTATATATAGGTAGTATCCGTGTAGATAATGTATTTCATGGCTTTCTTTTATTCAGGTACAAAACGATCGCCTAATAAAAAAATCCAATGAGAACAAAATAGTGAAACCGTTTTGTAATCGTGAAAGTGAAATTGAAAACAATGTGCAGTGAAAAAGTTGATATTGATTTGTCCGCTGCGAATTCTGCGATTGTTCGCCGTGACGTCATCGCCGGGTGTCAATAAGATTCAAAGATGGCGGACGAGATTAGCTGATCGGAAAGCGGCGCGCGCAGGCCACGCATCAAGCGGCGAATCAGGCGCATCATGGTAAGATTTCATTGTTAAAAAGCTGCCGTCCGCGATTGACAAAAAATTAGTAGCCTATGTGTTCTTCAGACTATGTTCTACATCAAATTTCACGGAGATCCATGCATCCATCCATCTAAACATTCGCATTTATAATATTAGTAAGATTGATTATCATTTAAAGTGATATTCAATTCGCTTTCAAAAAAATTGGCAACTTCAAGTAATTCTAACCATACGTCCATTTCAAAATCTCCAATAAAACGCAGCGTTGCCACACTGAAATCAGTTTTTTATGACCTAAAGAATTTTCCCTTCTTTTTACAATGTTAGATTAACGCCATGATGCCTTCCTGGGTACTATAGGGGCTACTGGCTAACGCATATTGTTTATATTAACATTTATTTGTTTCTTGGTCTTCAGCAGGTGTTCGGAGAATGGGCACAAGTGGAGGTAGTGGAGCTGGTCAATGATGGCACAGGGTTGGCGTTCGGCATCGTCGGCGGCCGCTCCTCCGGCGTCGTCATCAAGAGCGTGCTGCCCGGTGGCGTTGCTGATAGAGTAAGTAAAAAAAAGTTATTATGTCGGTGATTTTAGGGTGTTCACGTATTAAACGTAACAAATTAGAAGCGCCTGGTATTTTATTTTGGCAAATTTGATTGATCAAGGAAAAAGAACGTCAAAATAAACATTTATGTTATAAATTTGACAAACATGTATTCAGCAATAAAGTTCGATCGTTTGCCTGAAGATTTAGAGTCAATTTCCACTGAATCGATATGGTTAACTATATTCTGTGCAGATCACTGGATCCAAGATTGAAGTCAAATGTTTATTATATTCTTTTGGTTTGCCATTACGATCAACTTATTCCACACATCATTATTATTATTAAATAAGTATTTATTACCTAAAAGTGGATTATTTAAATAAAATGCAAGTTAAATAATAAACCAAACAATACAAGATTGTGGTGTAGCAATAAAGATTTGTTTGATACTGTGTACGTTGCGCGGTGCCAAAGAGACGTGAATTATTGTTACCGCACGGCTTGTGTCCAAATAAACATATTACTTAAGTTTATTTCTAACCAGTTTTGTATTCTTTTAAATTGTGAAAAAGTTAAATAACGACGAAGTTAATCTGAGAAACATTTAGCAGTGGTAGAGCTCGCTTTAACATCTTCGCACGAATCGGCCCGACTTACCCGGTGAAATACCACGACCACACTGAAGACAGGCGTGAAGTGGAATCAATTCCGCGTTTCGTCTGATGACCATGTTATGACCCAAGTTAGGGGTGACTAGGCCATAGTCAATCATGCTGGTCCAGTGCGGGTTGACTTCACATATTTTTGAATTTCTTTGCAGATATGGACATGTTGCATCACGATGTTTTCCTTCATTGTAATAACGTCGGATAAATGTAAATCGAAAATAGCTCATTGCTACACGGCGGGATTTGAACTCAAGGCCTGCAGATTACAAGTCATAACTACTGAGCCATGGACGCTAAAGATCGTCACTTCTTGTTAATTTCTCGTTTATTTCATAAGTTAAAAAGCGAGCGTGCAAAATTCAATTAAGTATTCAGTTTGCGTTTTTGTTAAATGGACTTGCGAGTTACCGCATTTGAGGAATTAAAAAAAATTGTAACGAATTCATTTTCACTGTAGCAGCATTTTAGTGGAATGAATTAGCTGTTTCCATTCAAAGCCGATTTAATTTTCACGAAGCGCGGCGCCGGCTGTAAGGGTGGAGTCGTAAAATGTACAATTTTAACATTAAATTTCTTTAGTGTTTTAAAATGTTGAATAGTTATGAATAATCTTTTTAATATTATAATTGTCGATGGCAGAATAGATTGATGTTTGTTATAACGTAACTCCAGAACAGCTGTACGTATCTGGGTGATATTTTGGACATATATTAGTCTGGAATAGCGCTTAGTCAATTAGTAAATTCTATTAAATAGTGTACATGAAATTTAGAATGTGTTAAATAGAAAAAAAAGCTATACTGTTATATGTAAAATTATTTTAAAATGCGCGTCCGCGAAATAATACCAGTGCCACTCATCCTGATGAAGGGCCCCCGATGGGCTCGAAACTAGTCGGTGCCGCCACCGGACGTATATACGTGAGTGTTTAGCCGTGTTTATATATCAGTTTATTTTAAAATGGTTATAAATGCGAATGTGCGTATCTGCAGCAAGGTTAGACAAAGTGCATTCGCTCCGAAGCATTCCATAACTTCAAGAATATATAGAACCGACAATACCTTTGGATAAGTCACGTGAATGTCACAAGTCAGTTTCATTGATATTTGAAGTTCGCTATGGAATCGCTTCAAAGCGAATGCGCTTTGTCTAGACCCTCAGGAACGGCTGTATTGATCTCGCTGAAATTTGGCATAGAGGTAGAATATAGTCTGGAAGTATACTTAGGCTACTAGTTTAATATTTTAATACCGGACGTAGTCGATGAAGACTGCTAGTAATTTGTACGGTAGAGATAGAAATTTTACTAAAATTTACATTTTTCCATTACTTCCACAAGTTACAAAGACATATATAGTATTTTTTTAGATTAAACTCATGTGAACTGCACGTGTAATAAATCTCTGCTTGCTTTATAAACTTTTTTAATATACCGTCTCTTTATACTTATGAAAGTGTCCGCTCACCAACCAGGCACGATTGCCCCGAAGTAATTAAAGTGAGGGTAGTCTAAGAAAAGTGATTCAAACTTAGTTTCAAGTTTAAATGGTTTGATCAACTAAGTCTATTATGAGTTATAGCTTCCCATAAAGATTAATTAATGTTAAACTAATTTAGTTTAAGAAGAGTAATTAGTAGAGAAGATAATTGTTAAAACACTTCAATACGTACTATTCAAGAATGACTCGGTAACGCACTTTAAAAGTGACAGTAGTATAATATTGAGAAGACGACGGGGAAATAATAACCAATTGGATGCAGCTTTTAAATGTGTCTATACGAAAAATATCATTTAGTGCTACACGAATTACCTAATTGGTTACTTTGTACGAAGGAGCTGAGTTTGTGTGGTTAGAAGGAACAAAGTTATTTTTCTGTAAGTTGAACACCGCGAAGGGCCTTGACTGTACATACTAAACACTGTACATACTTGACTAAACAATTGAATCAACACTTATTGTACACCATCCGATACTATTTGAAAAAAAGACAGAACCAAAAATATGTCATACACAAACCAGCCTTTCGGCAGTTGAAAGACAAGGCAACCTACCAACTACTCAAAATTGGCCTGACACCACACGTGTTGTGTGAAGAGATCCCTTTGTTCCTTAATGGCTTGAAACATAGCCGCGAAAACCCTCTTGTTAATCTTGTTAATATTATGTACAGCAATAATTTCTCCGTAAGCATTACATTAGAACCTATAGTGTTAGAATTTATATTCTAACGGTTCGCAATTTCGCTTACAAATCGTTCTCAATAACATCGTTGTAATGCCCGGTCCTTGTAGCGTCGCTCGTAACATCGTTAACGACCCGCTGAGGTGCCCCATTAGATGATTATTCCCTTTTATTGGCCGTTATCGCTTCTATTAGCAAAAATATAAACATTCCTTTTCTATCATTAATTTATTTATATCTTTAAAGTTCATAGTTTTATTTGTAGGATAAAATATTTTATTTCAATATTTTGTATTGATGGCATCTGTTATGAAATGTCTAGACCAATCTTTTTAAAAGGGAATAAATCAAACGAGCATCGGGAACAAATCTGGAGGATCGTCAACATGCAAAATGTTAGTGTTATATTATGTTAGTAATGCAGTTCCAATGTCTTGTCTTGCTCAAAGTATGCATAGGACAGTCTTGGGACTTTATGACAATTGCTGGAATTTGGATGGATACAAAGATAGAAGAAGATCGTGAAGATGGATCGAGTGAAATAGGATCTGCGTAAGAAGAGGGTAAATTTAAATATGACGGCTGATAGATAAGAGATGCATGAAAGAGAAGTATATACTGTGTCGATCCTCCTTAGGTACTTGGTTAAAGATGATGATGAGGCAAAGAAATTTTTCGAACTTATGTAGCAATCTTTGATATAAGATTACATCCTTAAGCTAAAGGAATAAGGAAAACCATTAAGATAATTACAAAACTTTGTTACCGTTACTTACAGCGTAAACAAAAATGTTATATCACTTTTACCAGGAAGACTGGAACACTGAGGATGTTTTTGTACAATTGTTTCCATAGTGAAAGCCTACGTTAATGTATATCAACAGTGTATAATCGTTCATATTATCCGTTATTATGTTATATTAGATTTATGATCTGTCTTATCGAGCGTAGCTTGCCTCCTCAAGTCGACTGCACTTAATTAATTAATCCGCTTTATTGAAGCTGTAGTCAGTAGCTATGATATTATGAATACTTTATAATAGATAGAGTAAAATATTTATATCTTTGAATTTGTATATGTTATAGCATTTAGAACACTCTTAATAATGTTTAATGGCTATAAACAGATAAAGTTTGAGGGACGAAAACTTGTTTTGTAAACCTTACAACGCTTCATAGAGAAAGAGAACAAAAATATTCAAATAAATCGAGAACCTCCTTTTTGAAGTCGGTTATAAAGGTCAGGGAAAATATTCAAATATAGAAGTCTCAAATCTAAAGTCTTATCGCATTTTTTTTTTATAAAAGAAAAGACGTAAGTCGTTCAAAATAGCTCTGATAAGTTCGAATTACTTTCAAAACTTTTCTTCGTATAATTACGTCAATCCCAGACTAAGGTCGGGAAGATCAAAAGAGTCGATCTTAATGATTCTACTTCAAATTACTGCCAACTTAATTATACTTTCATCTACCAAGTTTTCAGTTCAAGATGTAATCTTAATGCTAAGGTTCCTTTGATGTAATTAGAATCGAACTTACTAATATTATAAATGCGAATGTTTAGACGGATGGATGTCCGTTTGAAGGTATCTCCAGATATAGAGTATAGTATGGAAGAACACTTAGGCTACTAATTAAGATTTTTTTTTAATTCCGGGCGGACGGAGTCGCGGCTGACAGCTAGTTTTAATAATATTATAAATGCGAATGTTTAGATGGATGGGTGGATGTTTGTTTGAAGGTATCTCCAGAACGATTGTATAGATTTCGCTGAAATTTGGCATAGATGTAGAACATAGCCTGGAAGAACACAAAGGCTGCTTATAAAGTTTTTTAGAGAAAGTAGTCGCGGGCGATATCTAGTCTTACTAATGGGGATGGGTAGGTGTTTGTTGGAAGATTTTTCCAGAACGGCTGCATGGATCTCGATGAAATTTGGCATAGGAACACATAGGCTACTTATAAAGTTTTTTTTTAACTCCGCGCGAACGGAGTTGCGGGCTAGTAGTTAATAATATTTATATTGTAATTAAAACCAGTTACACACAACATGGTATTGTTAGATATTTCCAGTGTGTGTGATAGCACTTGTTTGTCGACTACTTGAAAGGTAGTCTAATAATAAATTGCAAATATTTCCAGTAATGTGCCACATTTGGCACAAATGTTCCGTATCCAAACTGTAGGTAGTTTACAAACATTTTACTGAAGTGTGAATTGAACTCGCTTCTATTCTTGTAACCAAACAGCAATATGTTGATCACCAGCATACGATATTGAGTTTTCGTGTAATGCTGGTCACACACGTTAGGTTTTGAAGGAGAACTTTCTTGTGACTTTTGACTTTAGTGGTGTATCTATATTGTCATCTCTTACATTTCTTTAGAAAAAAAGAGATAACAATATGTTTCAAGTTGCATGCATACAATACAAACACTAACGTGTCAGACAAAACGGTTATACCTAAGGTTCGTATCGTGTTGCAGTCTAACGTGTGTGGCTTACCTTATTTGATTTGTTTGATGTATTCTTTAAATTTTTTCGTTAAATATCGATTTGTTTATTTTATTTTCGATAATTCATTGGTTATTTTCATACTTTTCGAGTGATTGAGTTTAGAAGCTTTGAAATAAATACGTTTATTTTCTACTTGAAAACTATTTCGTCGAATAATAAAAAATCGTTTGGTATTTTCGTATTTCAGCCAATGTTGTTGCGAAAGGAATGCTATCTTAAACAATATTTTTTAAAATGATATGACATACACCAATTGTAAGAAGAAAAATTATACTACGAAAATAATAAACTTAAAAATAAATCTCGCAAAAACATCTGTTGCAGGAATGGGCCGGCTTTACGGCCACACAGAAGACACACCTCAAGTCATTCCGCGTTTCGGGTGACGAGTGTGCTTGCCGCAGGCCTAATTTCAGTTCTTTTCTCTTTCCTATCTTCTCCTAACAAGGATGGGAAATTTCCCTCTCTCTGTACACCTTCGCTATTCATTTAACGTAGGCAATGCATCGATAACTTGTTAGAAATGTCTATGGGCCGTGTTCGCCTTGCTGAAATTAGATTGCAGGGTAGGGAAGGTGTTTAATCCGGTTTACGAATTCCAACGTTATAGTCTTGTTAAATGAGAGACGTTGTCCTCAGGATGGTCGGCTACGCAGTGGCGACATGCTATTGCGTATCGGTGCAGTGTCTGTGGTGGGAATGTGCGCACGGCAAGCGGCGGCCGTGCTGCGTCAGTGCGGTGCCTGCGTGCGTCTGCTCGTCGCTAGGCCTGCGTCCGCCGCTTTACCACCATCTATGCAGGTAAATATTGAAGTTTTCAAAAATTATATCGGCTCTAAAAATCGTGCAGTAAGTGCAGGACACAATTTTATGTGTAGCGGCCCGTAACGGGATGCGGGAGAAGGGTAGTAAGCAGTGCGTAGCTCAAGGTCAAACGTCAAACGAGATATGTGAAAAATGGTATACCGCTGTGAATTTACTAAGGAGACGATTAATGTTAGTTTATTGGCGCACTAATGAGTCCGTAATCTGTCGGAGTGTAGTTTCGTGTGAGAAATCTACACAAAATAATGCACATTATGTGTAGCCAACTAAGTGAACTACGGATTAATAATACAATGCGTTTATTTCTGCACTCAAATTCATTGCCATTTAACGTCTCTGCGGCTGTTATTAAATCAAAGTAATACTATCTTTACTAATATTATAAAGCGAAAGAGTTTGTTTAAACGCGCTAATCTCAGGAACTATTCGTCCGATTTGAAAAAATTTGTTGGATAGTCCATTTATAGAGGAATGCTTTAGGCTAACATTATGCTGTAACCAATAGTTTTTTCAATTCCTCGAGGACGGAGTCGCGAGCGACAGCTAGTAGGCTAATAAAAGTGTTCAAATGTTCCAAGTATTCTTATATTTTTGATGCCTCTACATCCAGCAAGTAAATATTTTATTTTATGGTATCAACACTTTTGTAAAAGAAAAACAAACTATGAGTCTAACAAAATCTGTTTAGAAGTAAGGGGACTAAACGATATGATGTAATCCATCAAAACTGACAGTAATATGGCAGGGTTAAGGTCTTTGGAGGGTTTATGTAACACATACAGATTTGGTAAAAAGTAAATGGCATTTATTTTATAATTCTGAAAAGGTTGTTTTGACAAAAGCAATCTAAAGAATAACGCATATAAAACCTTGTTCCTAAAAATAAAATGGTTTTATCTGAATAAAATCACATTTTAATTCTATATTAATTATTAAGTGACTAATTAATTAAACTACCAAAATAATACTATAAACTATATACTAAAACTAAACCAAACTAAAAATAAAACTAAAAAAAAAAATCGACCCCAAATCGCTGCGGTCGCACGGTAGGGTTCCCAAGATGGTTTTATTTATTTATCTACGTTTGTATTATAATTTATATATATACGCTACGGTAAAAGTGTTCTATGTTTTTGTTATATTTGGTGAGTTTACAAAAATAAATCGATGTCAAAATTAATTTATTATAGTCTGTTAGAACAATGGGGCGAATTTATTTTGCTTTCCATGATTTAATGTTGTCGATATTATAATTATTGAATATTATATTTTTTTATAATGTAGAGAATTATGTTATAAATCACTAGTCTTCTCCCGCGACTTTGCCCGCGCGGAATTATTAAAAGAGTACAAAATACCCAATATTACTATGTATTTTTAAGTTACCATTATATAATTTCAGGTAAACTAACCTCAGGATTTTATCGGTAATAGCTGCGTTGTTTTTCGAGTTTATATTACTTTCAAGACTCCTAGCAAGTCATGTGGAAATAGATTTTTAAAACTAGTACAGTGCAGTACAGAAATAAAGAAAAGAATCTCGAGTGTCATTAAAAATGAAATGGGGGCATTCTGACAAAGACAGTTGCATGTTTTGAAATAATAAAGATTGCTGTTGGATAAAAGTTTTTATTATAACATAAAATTTCCTGTTCCGATTTATATCTGCGTTAAAATCTGACACTAAATCGAAGTTCAAATCTCATTATTATGTGCAATTTACTTTAGGTTTCTGATACCAAATTCCCCGTTCAAAACATATTGTTATCTCTGTTCTGTCAAAGATAATGACAGGGATGACGATATGTTTTATACAGAGATTTCCTACTCAGAAACTATCGTTTATTAAAATTTAAAAGATGGGACAGTTGACCTTCATTCTCGTCTTTCTTACACATACGCTGTCAAGGTCATTATGTAATTTTATTGTAGATCTGACTGATCGTATAAATATCACATAGAATTGATACGATATTTTATTTAATCAATCGAAGATACCCATTTAAATGATATGAAGTCAAATGAGTGTCTATTAAGCGTCGTCGTAGCGCAATTACGTCGGAACCGGAAACACCGACGTCATATTTCCGGTGGCGTTCGACGGATGTTAAATAAACTGACGCGACGCGGAAGTAGTCGCGGACGTTTTTATTAGTTAGTAATTTACTATTCTGTTTATATATTTACCTTTTTCTTAGGATTATAGTTTTGCGTATATTTTTGAAGATATTGGATAATTCTGTTAGGGATAAATTCTGTTTTAAAATGAAACGTCTAATCTACTTTTTATCAGCTTTATTGCATTTTCCTACGTCGTCCTTCCGACGACCCTTAAACTGTAAGTCACGTCGCACTCAGGGTCAAACCTCCCTTTGTGTTGATTATGTATTAGAAATGTACCGTACTCTCCCTTTGAGACAAATTAACAAATGACACACGTTACACTTTTTTATTTATTTTTAAATTGTTAATTTATTCTCTCTACATGTAGCTACTCTTTACAGTCATTAGGTGCTTCCCAAGCACCGGTAGTACCATCTCGTATGCTAGCCGACCCTGTAGAGCTAGAGAGGAGTTTGTCAGAGGCGGGGCACGAGGGCTTCGGTGCTCTGTGCGAGGACACCACGCCGCCTTCGCCTCCTCCCACTATCATTGAAGAGAGGTTACATCATAGGGTATGTTCTTTCTTTTGATAGCTAGTAAATTTGACTACATGCCAGAAAATGGTAAAAAAAATATATACTTTTTTCATTTTATGGTATATTAAAAATACCAAGTTGAAATTAAATCACAATCTCTACAACAATTATTTTAGATTTTATAATATAGAACTCAGCGATGCTGTTCATAAATATAGCAAACTCTACATCTTGTTCTGAAAAATTTGGTTAAAATAAATTTTGCCTCGTTTTGTACACAGCCTGTGGCATCAATAGTGGCGGTGGTGCCGCGGGGAGCTCTCGCCCCCGCCCCGCGGCCTCCGCCTCTCATAATCGCACCTCCCGAGCCGCAGCCTCCCCCCATGAGGTGAGCACTACGTTGCAAAAAGTTGCGAAAATTTTGGCATCATCAAAAAATTCCTATCTCGAGACATCGTCTCTGATTTAAAAAAAAAAAACACAATTATAAAATGACTTAAACTGTCTGACATAGACTTTCTGCCATTTGATTAATGACCAAGGAGCCTCTTAGTGTTGAATTCAAATTACGATAACATCTCAAATCACGTGGTCGAGAGTTTTAATCCCGCCATTTGACTATTGTCGTAAACCATATAACAAAACCACAAATCTCCAGCTTTGTGAGGATGGTACCAAAATTACTATTTTTCTCAATAAAGATTCTACATTTAAAAATGACACTTTCATTTCCTGTTCCAATTTCAAACAATAAAAACAACGTGCTGTTCCAATTTCAAAAAATACGGTTGCCAAAAATTGTGACAATGAAACCGGCCAAGTTAGATGAGAATAGTTCGTCTTAAATTGGCGACTGTAACTTTTACTTGGCGATCTGTTTGCTAACTTCTAGGGCTGTCAACAAGGAGGCCAAGTGGAAGGGGAATATTTGTACGAAGCTCCAAACTTCAATGATTTGTTTGTATTGAGTCTGCCAAAAGTATCTTAGTAGTTTACACTAGTTATCAATACGTGAACTACCTATAAATTTGTTACAAATTCTGTGTCTTATTGAAGTTATTTCGTCAGGTTACCATTAGACATGGCGGTGCGTGGCGGCCGAGAACCAGAGACTCTTAGTTACGAAGTTCAACTCAACAAGCACTCCGCACTCGGTCTTGGTATTACAGTGGCCGGTTACGTCTGTGAGCAGGGTAAGTGTTATTGTGCTCTACTGGCAAAACATGTGTAGGAACATATCGTGAGTGCGACACCTCATTTCCGGTGTATCCAAAATGCTTGGGTATTCCAGAATAATCAATGGATACGGTTGTTCTATTGACTTTGTTTATGTCACACACTTGGATTTCTGACTAGTGTAGTGACCATACTTCTCTTGCAGATGGTTATGTTGCGTTATTATTATAATTATATTCCAGTATAGTGAGTACAGTATATTTAAAGTCAATGTATTACACCACTATTAGCGGTAGATTATTTTTAACAGCCAAATAACTCTTTTTTTTTTAGAGGAACTGAGCGGTATTTTCGTGAAGAGTGTAAGTGAAGGCAGTGCAGCGGATCTTTGCGGGAAAATACAAGTCAACGATAGGATTGTAGAGGTAAGCGATATAGTTATGTTGTAGACATAGTGTTAATTCGGACATTTTGAATATTGTCTTTACACTGCTTGTTAACTTATAATAACTTAACCTCCGAAGATCTTGTTTATTGTATTGATTTATTCAGAAATGCATCTTTAGTGGATGCAGAAAATAGATTGTAGTTGAAATTTTTAATTAATATATTAACCTTACTTATATTATTACTGTGATTGTTCAGATGGATGGATGGATGTTTTTTAAAGGTGTCTCCGGAACGACTCTAAAGATCTTGCTGAAATTTGGCATAGATGTAGAACATAGTCTGGAAGAACACATAGGCTACTAATTATGTTTTTTTTAATCCGCGCAGACGGAGTCGCGGGTGACCGCTAGTCTGACATTTTAATGCAGTTGACGCTTATGCTATTACAAAATCAATCTAAATCCAGAGAACTCAAATAACATTAGCAAACATTCATATTTAATTTTGATTGCTCACAAAGTTATTTAAAAAAAGAATTGTTGGAAACAGTGAATGCAAATTCGCTGCCATTTCAAACTGCCAGTGTTTGTATATCGTTATTGTGAACAGAAACTACATATACTATGTTTATTGTATTGTGTAGGTTGTATTGTTAAACATATATATGTACTATTTAGCGTGATTAGTTTGTACCAGGTACATATAAAATAGGTTAATCAAATTGCAAGCGAATATACATTTACAAAACAAATAAGCATCGGTGGCTCAGCAGTTAAGCACTTGACTTGCAATCTGCACGTCCTGGGTTCGAATCCCGCAATGTACCAATGTGTTTTTTTTTTATTGACATATGTACATTGACCTGAAGTTCTTACGATAAAGAAAAATGATGCTGCACATATCTGCGGAGAAATTTAAAGATATATGTGAAGTCACCCGTACTGATTGGTGTCACCTAACTTAAGGTAGGCTCCGAGCCCTTCAATAGGGAAGTATAGTGATCTGGTGATTAATACAAACATAACTGTAATTTTTTGTGCATAATTTTTTTCTACAGTCGTTTTATCAATGGAAAGCCACAATTAAGTTGACGTCCCCCACTGTGACACAATTAACGTAAGCAATTTGATAACACGTAAACTGTTAGCGAGCAGTCGACCGACACCGCCCCCTGGTGGCTTACAATGATAATATTTGTTTTGCTTAGAGCTATGTTTTATTGAATCGTATAGCTTATAGGCACATTATTAAAATTGTGTTTTAAATGTTGTCTATACTTATTCTGTTACCGAAGATTTCTAAGACTGAAATCTCTGTATAAAACATATCGCCATCCCTTTCATTATCTTTGATAATACAGAGATAATTATATGTTTTAAACGGAGATTTTGGTTAAAAAATAAGTAATTTTTACCTTTACAGTTCATTATCATCGTGCCGTTTTATCAACGTTGTGTCTCGGCACAGTATGTACTCTACCATACATCTCTATCAGCCGTTATATCTGAATCCACCCACTTTTTACGCATATCCTCTTTCACACAATGCATGCATACTTATAAAAGTAATAAAACTTAATCATCGATTAACTTAAACAGCATGAAAAGTTAGTTTTATTTGCATCAAAAAATCGTAGTTCAACCAGGTCATGCACTACGCGAGATGTTAATGAGACTGATTCTAGAAACTAGGTTAGGAGAACAAAATCAAGGACTACGATGCACTTAAGTTGCATTTATATCTGCCTCTTATGAAAATATATCATTTGATAAAATTTTATAGTAACTCCTTTTAATTCATTGTTTGTACTTACTTTTGTAAGAAAACGTGTACCAATTTATCAGCAAAACTTAAGTTAATAAAAGTGGATTATCGACTATTTCGACTAACATTATCAAAGTTTTATAAACCAGTTTTGAATACTACTTTATTTTATCTCAGAATTCAAACAATATTTTGATCAACTCTACTTAAGAGACGCTTAACTAGTTGTCGTCCGCGTCTCAATCAGCGTAGAATTAAAAAAATAATTAGTAGCCCATGTGTTCTTCCAGACTATGTTCTTCTACATCTTTGCTAAATTTCAATGAGATCCATGGATTAGTTTTGGAGATACCTTCTAACAAACATCCATCTATCTTAACGTTCGCATATTATATTAGTATCTAAGATTAAATCAAATATACATATATTTCTTTGCGTATATTCTAATAGATTAACGTCAATGTTGACATAAATATGATGCTTCAAGTGAGAAATGACTTTACAATTGGGTCAAGTGTCCACTCAACTCTCAATTGCGCGTTGAGCTGTGACTCAAAAAGGTTGCGTTAAACTCAAATAAGCTACGGATAACCTATTTATAAAAGTACAAAGAAAACCTTATTATCGTATTCACAATATATTGAAGATTTTGTAAAATATCTTTACGATTCAAGAATCAAAGTTTTTTATTCCACTAAGCTTAGATTTTTAGATTTGTTTAGTTTTTTTTACACATATATTTCTTTGTCTAGCTAACGGAAAAAGATCTATGACTCCCTTATTTATAGAATTCATAGTCCCTAAGTGCCTATTGTTTTAACACTAAGTTTACGCTAATCGTGACCTTTATTGACTACTAGTTGTTCCCCACAACAACGTCCGTTCAACAAACGGAATAAAAAAGCTTAATTAATAGCCTATGTGTTCTTCCAGGCTATGTTCTACATCTATACCAAATTTCAGCGAGGTCCTTTCATCCTTTTGCAGATACCTAGTAACAAACATACATCTATCCATTTAAACTGTTATAATATTAGTAATAATAGATATTGTGTGTATATTTCTATATTAAACATTCGTGATATACGCTTTGTTTAAAATACACAGCAGCACTATTTATGAACAAACATAAAGGCAGACATTCACGGCTCTGAATTCAAAATGAACGGCAACCCTTAAACACAATGGCCTCGCGTGCAGACAAATTACTACTGGACAAAATGTTTTAATAATACTTCTGTCTGCGTTTCTCTTTTGTTTTTATTATTTAAAAAGGAAAGATGGGATTTTTTTTGCAATTCAGTGTACCTATTTGTTTCAAAGGGTTTTATTTAAATGTATTAGTCATGAAGATCTTTCTAGAGTATGTGCCTTCATAGAAAACAATGTGTTATCCTTTTGGCAACAGTTTCAATTTTTTTTTTATAAATTATAAGTGTAATGTGAAATGAAATTACATTGTAAATTTTATTTCAAAATGTTAGTGCACGGTTTATGTTTGCGCATCACAAGTACGGCACTTGGGACGCGCAATTTTAAACGTTGAGAGTATGAAAGTGGACTTCACTCTAATATGACTGAGCCGAGTCAGCATGCAGTTAGAGAATTTAATTCATTACCCAGGTACTATCAAATTGTCACCATAAGAGCTATAATTTAGCAAGTATGTATCTATAATTATTCGATATATTGCATCGTGGGTATCATTATTTGATTTTATCGAAATGGGTAAGAAGTATTCGTATATCTGACAAGACGGCGGTCATAGCTATAGAAGGAAATTTTCTGAAAAATTTCCTGTTTTTAAAAAAGCAAGTGATATAAAAATTGTATTAAAATTATGTTTCATACAAATATTATTGTTTGATTTGAAAAGGAAAAATATTTAATGACTTCGGATATGATGTAGACTTGCTACGAATACCTACGACGTAGCGACGTAGCATTCATAAGTATGTTGTTTCAAGGTGGACGGAGTTTCGCTGCACGGTGTTACTAATCATAAGGCCGTGTCGTTGCTACGCGACGCTAAAGGACCTATCGTGCGGTTGAAAGCTTTAAGGTGACAACTGAAATATATTTGTTTTTATTTTGCATTGTGCTTTTATTTAAAACAATTATTATTTAAAAAATGTTGGTTAAGATAATTTTATGATTAATATTGTGAAACCAAATCCTTTTGTATTATTTATTGAGGTATAGATTATACGTCTTTTTAATGTTAATTTTTTTTAGAATATGTATATAAAGTTGGTAAAAAGCCTACCTAATTATATCTGTTTAGTAGACAATGCATTCTCTTTTAATTGTAATTTTCTTTGTGATATTTGCAGATATCTCCGTGGCGCGGGGTTTGAGAAGCTGCAGAAGGCGCTCGCGGCACAAGATGGCCGCCGCTCTCCTGTCGCGCCGCCCAGCCCCTCAGTCACATCACTTACCAAATATAGTTTTAGTGTGGTGAGTTGAATATCAAATATGTTCATTTTAAAAATTTTAGTTCAGTAAAACTAGATTAACATTTCAGATTTTTGTTTTGGTATTTCATATTAAATGAGATACATAAGGCCGTGCGTACACAAGTACGTTAATTGTCGAAATTAATATTACATGATTGCGCGCTCCGTCCATAAAAAGTTTAATCGTAGACGCCAGTCTCCTGCTCTGTATGAATAGAAAACACAGACTAAATGTCAACTGTTTTCAGCGAATTTTCTTACGATGAACTTTACAAATAGATCGCTATCGATTTTTGCTTAATATGTAAAATCTTTATGTGTGTTTGTTAATATCATTACAGTACGACGAATCCACAGTGATAGAGGCAGAGGCGGAATCAGAGATACGTAACCCCCCCTCCCCTACCTCGCCAGGGGAGGAGGCGGAGATCGTGATCGGCAGGGACGATGACATCTCCGAGCGCGAGTTGCGCAGGATACAGGACAAGTGGCGGGACATATTGAAAGAAGAGAAAGACTGGCCCGGACACCAACATCAATACGATATTGTGGTATGTGTTATTTAATTAATTTGCCCTCTTTGTCTCATAACAATTTTAGATACGATTCAGTGGGGGAAGTCAATTTGACAGAGGTTAGAAGATAAAGGGAGTCTTAAGTTATAATAGCTAAGCGATCGCTGCCCATAGACATGCGTTGCCTACCTTTAATCGATGGAAACCGCACAGAAAGAGAATGTTTTGCCATCTTATGCGGCCCTCTACTGTCAAATCCACTTTGCCTTCTGACTATTCGCTTAAAAGAGAAGGTTGGGATAAGGAAAGGGATTAAATTTAAGCCTTAATTCACTCAAATGTGTATACTACAGGTGGGCACAATAATGAAGGGGAAAGACAGTGGTCTGGGGATATCACTGGAGGGCACAGTGCGGGTGGTGGGGGGCAAGGAGGTGCAGGCGCGGCATTACATCCGCGCCATCGCACCAAACGGACCCGTCGCAAAACTCGGCACTTACAGAGTTGGTGATGAACTGTTAGAGGTACACTATGAATATATTACCACAGAATTACACATCTGAATACACATCTAATGACAAATTACACAAATCATAATGATGTACAATTGCAGTAATATTATATAATAAAAAGATAAAATAATTGTCTTTATCGATATGTTTCTAATGAAGAAACTCAAAAACTATTTGACTAATATCAGAAAGATTTTCACTGTTGAAATGCTACATAATCCCAAAGTAACATAGGCTATATTTAAAACTAGTAATCGCCTTCGATTTCGTCTGTGCAGAATTAAAAAAATAGACTATAATATACCCGTGGACTATCAGCTACCTTCATGTTAAGGTCCAGTCAAAATCGGTCCAACCAATCCAGAGATTTCTCCGAAGAAACTCGGCTACGGACAAACATATAGACAGACAGACAGACAAAAAAAATGGATTTTATGTGTACGAAATATGACAATTATTTTTCGATATAGCTACATACAGACACTCCAATTTTATTTATATGTATAGATATTTTCCTAAATCGTTTAAAAATAAATATTTACCTCAATATTGTTTATAGGTAAATGGTTGGCGAGTACTAGGATCGCATCACGTCGAAGTGGTCACGAGATTGAGAGCCGTCACCTCTCCCGTTCTACTCGTGTGCGTTAGAAAGAGACAGGAGGAGAATAAAGGACGCGAAAACAGCTTCTCAAAGGTTATTAAGACATTTCTGAATTTTACTATTACCAAACTTTTAAACTGCATCAAATTTCGAGTCTTACAGATTTTTGAATCCTTTGAATGTTTGTAAAGACTAGATTCGCTAATACTTTGCTTTGTAATTGCTTTTAGCAGAGTTCTTGAGAGATTTCGTGATTTTAGATAATTGCATTGTGAACTAAATCTTCTTTTATCTCTAGAGTGCAATAATCGGCGGCAGTCTACAAGATCTGCTGACTCCCCCGCAGCGGCTGATCAAGGCTAAGTCTGAGAGTTCTGTCGCATCTCTGTGTAGCGCCGCCACTGTCATGTCTGCCGGACACGACCATGATGGTGAGTAACACATTACCGGTAGATTCAAATACAATAACTAGCTTGCGCCCACGATCCTATCTTTTTAAATTAAAAAAAAAAAAACTTAATTAGTCGCCTATTTTCTAGACTATGTTCTACATCTATGCCAAATTTCTGCAAGATCCATACAACCGTTCTGGAGATATCTTCAAACAAACATCCATCCATCTAAACATTCGCATTTATAATATTAGTAAGCTTACAGCAAGAGAATAGGAGATATGAATCGTAAGAAAAGAAAATGAGAGAAGTAAGTAGAAGATAACAAGGATTTTGTGATCTTTTTTTCGTACTAATAATATAGAAACATATTTAATTTACAGTTTTAATAGTTACTTATTAAAATTCTTGTAACTTAGTATTTCTGCCCAATAAAAAACATTTTAAGATATCGATATGTAAGATATTTTTTTACTTTAAAACCGTGGGTTTTTAACACCAAAGTTGCTGTATAAAACATATCGGCCATCCTTGTCTTTCATCGCGAATTAAATCTCAGAAACCTACAATAAATAAATTCGACATTTGTGTTAAGAATTATCTAAATCATTTATTTAATTTGATTCATCATCATCAGCTCACTATAGGTCCCCACCGAGGGGCTTGGAGCCTACCCTAAGTTAAGGGTGATTAGGCCATAGTCAACCACGCTGGCCAAGTGCGGGTTGACTTCACACATATCTTTGAATTTCTTCTCAGATATGTGCAGCATTACAACGTTTTCCTTCACCGTAAGAACGTCGGATAAATGTACATATGTAAATCGGAAATCGAAAAACACATTGGTACATGGCGGGATTCGAACCCAGGACCTGCAGATTGCAAGTCAAGTGCTTGACCCCTGAGCCACCGATTAATTTATCAACAAATAATTAAACTTTTTTTTTTGCAGAATTCTGTTCAGACGATTTAGAACGGAATCGTTCTCGCTCGTTGGAGCCGCTCAGTGGTCTTGCCATGTGGAGTGATAACATTGAGTACATTGATCTGCAAAAAGAAGACCGAGGTCTTGGCTTCTCTATATTAGATTATCTGGTAAGTTATATACTGTAGGACCATTGTCAAAACACATTTATACAGATAACTTATTAATAAACAAAGTAAAAATGACAGTAATATCCATGTGGCGTATGAAATCGACTACCATTATTCCGATAGTCGTATCAGTGAATGGACTGATATCGAAGAGTTTCGACCAACATCTTAAAAAGCTCTTGCAAAACAAGACTCGATCTCGATTTACGGACCTTCAAGAAACGAGCCCCAACGCAACTACAGTTCCTCTGGTGTTGCGGACGTCCATAGGTGTCGTTGATCACCTCGGTGTTCTCGTCAATCGTTTGCCTTCTCTGATAAAAAAATAGTTGGATTAAGTGCCCGATACAAACGTCAGTTATCCAAGAAACCGCACGCATCGTGAGAAGGTTCCTGTCTCTGCAGCCCTCACCACTGCTTGTTTGAGTCATGGGACTCCGCAGTCTGTGGTGTTCTATTTATCTTCTATTTAATATAAAATATATAGTATAATTTTTTATTTTATATATGAGATGTACATACTATATTAAAAATATGATAAATAAATACATAAACAATAATATTTTAATACTTTCCTGATGGCGTTAACGATGTGGTGGATTTTTCGGTCAATCGGAATTCCCATTAATTGACGTGCTGCGCAATGCTCACGCCACTAAGACTATCATTGTGTTCTGCGCAGCCTTGATATCTGAAAACTTTGAAATATGTGAATAACTGAAGAGTTATTGTCCAGGACCCATCAGAGGCGGGCAGCTCAGTGATAGTGGTGAGGTCCGTGGTGTGTGGGGGCGCGGCGGCGGCGGACGGCAGACTGGCGCCCGGCGACCGACTCGTCTCCGTCAACGGTATCGATGTCTCCAGAGCCTCACTGGCTACCGCTGTTAGAGCTATCAAGACCGCGCCTAAAGGTACATGTCAAACAATTAAATTCTATATTTAAAATGTTATGTAATTTATACTAGCCGTCGTCCGTAACTCCGTCCCCGTGGATGGATTAATAAAAAAACTTATTTAGTAGTGTATTTGTTCTCCAAGACTATGTTCTATATCTACGCCGAATTTCATCAAGAGTCTATGTGCCGTTCCGGAGATACCTTCAAACAAACATCCATCCATCTAAACATTCGCGTTTATAATATTAGTAAGATTAGCAATAAAATTGCATTGTCTGGTATCGGATTGATGTTGTGTTTTGTTATGTCGTGTCGTGTCGTGTCGTTTCGTGTCGTGTCGTGTCGTGTCGTGTCGTGTCGCGTCGCGTCGTATCGTGTCGTGTCGTGTCGTGTTGTGTTGTATAGCAACAGACTTAATTACTACCCTCCAGTTAGAGAAAAATACAATATCCCACGTATAGTGTATATTTACTCTGCGTGATAATGATAGCAAAGACACAACTCTTGTGTCTTATCAACGATATTTGTATACTGAATGCTGTTTATATAATAAAACTAATATCTTTGCAAATAGAAACAAATGAGATAAAAACTTGGTAATATTTAAATGTTCAGTGCAATGTACGCATTCTGTAGCTATTGATGTTTTCATAAACTTGCTAAAAATATTATAAAAGTGAAGTGACAAGGTTTCTATTTAAAAACATTGTCACATTTCAAGGTTTTTTTTCAATAATGTAGCGTGAAGAGTGTAATTAACAAATTTAAGGACAATTATTAACTTATAATAGTGCAAACAGTGTCGTTATCAACAAAAAATATTTTATAAGATTTTTTACCTCCTCTTGCATTTTCAGAACATCCTATAACTACAAACGGGATGTTCCAAGTAGGACAAGCATAGTGTGTTTTACGTAGTACAAACATGAAACGTTCCGCGTAGTACAAACCAAGGGTGTTCCAAATACTACTAACATAGGGTGTTCCATATAGGACTGACAAGGGTGATCTACTTTGGACAAACATAAGACATTCCACTTGAACAATCTTAAAAAAAACATTGGTTTTTAGTTTTTTCTGAAGATTACAGATTATTTGTCATCGTTGTTTATTTTTTCAGTTATTTTTTTTTCATAAATGTTTTTCTTGTCAACAGGGACAGTAACAATAGGAGTAGCGAAGCCCTTACCTTGTAGTACTGTTGTTGGAGGTGAGAAGGCCAACGCAAATAGCATGCAGAGCAGTCAGGTCAGTTCAGTATTACAATACGTTTTGTTAATATTCAAATGCAATTTAAATTTTTACACCCTGTATGTGATATGATCAAGTTATTACGTATTTTTATATAAAGGGTGTATATTACATTTTAAATCAACGATAAATAATGTCATCGAGTCTTTTAATATTTAAAGTAAATCAATTAAAACGATACTACAAAATAGCGAGGATTTTTTTTCTTAAATTACGATTTAAAGAATTACAACCTCTTTGGTTATTTTTTTTTAATTAAAATTGCTTTTTTTTACGTAATTATTTAAAATATAGTGTAAGTTCTAATATTGTACACTGAGGGGAAAAAGTGCAAAAGTAAGTTATCATTTTTATTTTATTAAAGCTTTGATTTCACAGAATGCTTAGAGCTGTATAAACCTATTAAATCTTCTAGCATGCTATTTTATTAACCGTAGGTTTCCACTGCAACATTTACAACATATTGATGTCTCGGTTTTCACTCAAAACGGATAACAATATGTTTTATTACTAATTTATCTGCAGTGGAAACACACGGTGAACATTTCTAATATTTTTCATAATTATTTTGTACAGTAAAGGGACTTTTTTACCGCTCTAATGCATTGCTTTGAACTGGATTTTGACTATTGATAAATTTTTGTTAAAATATCCCTTTAGTGTACAATATTTTTTGCATGCATTACAGTGGGTTTCTGAATACAAACTCTCTGTTCATATCGACATCGCTATCATTATTTTGGACCACACAGGAACAGTATGTTTTAAACGGAGATTTCCGTCTCAGAAACCCATAGTTAGTCTAACAATAATCATGTATTGGCATTAAATAATCTAAAGATAAGTAATCTGGAGTATAGAAGTGAGGCATAAAGGTACGCGTCCATCATCCGCGCCGATCGCGTCGAAACACAAGGTCCGTTAAATCCGTAGATGCGTCCGGCGCGAGACAATGGACGCGTACCTTTAAAAAGCTCTCCGGAGGCCTTTTGTTTGGGTATATTTTATAGGTAATTTAGAATACAACATATGGGAAATTCGACTTATTCATTTTTGCTTGAAAAATTCCATCTATTGCAGCTTATATTCATATAGGTTTAAAAAAACCAATATTAACATAATTTTCAAAATTTCAATAAAATCATTAATTTTACATTATGTTACACCAATATTGTTAACGACTACTTTAAATTTCTTAAATTGAGTATTTAACCTGTAATAAGTAGTCTTTTTGAATCCCATTTGGCTTCTTAATTTTTTTTTATTTTATTAGAGCGTTTAATTTATAAATTATTGTTTATCATTTAGTTAAATACAAAAAATAAAAAATACTCGTAAATCGACTCCTGAATATTTTAAATAGCAAATTATCGTAATTGCAGAAAATCGAGTACTTCACAAAAATTCTTCGTCTAATTATGTCACTGCATCGTGACATAATGGAGCTGCAGTTGCAATGCAGACAAGATGTAAACATGCCCACACATACATACGCTGCCCCGAAGATAAAAGCAGAGATCACAATGAAATGATAAACAGACAAATTCAATTACACCGTCAGTATTGAAATGCCAAGGAAAGATAATTTAGAAGAAACAAAAGATACGGAAATGAAGATATAAAGGAAAGATAAAGCTATAAATAGTTCTAGAAAAAGTTTCATTTGTAAAGAGTGTGGTTTAATTCTTCTACTGCGGGTTTCTAAGACCAAAATCTCCGTTTAAAACATGTCGTTATCTCTGTATTTTATACATTGGTTTTGGTTTCAGAAACCCACGGTTAATTAGCAATAATCGTGAACAAACTGACAGTTTATAGTGTTGGCAATTAATTGCAGAGTTCATGAACTATACGTCAGTGTAATTATCGAATTATGTAAGATAAAGTCAATTCACAAAATAATATCGCAAAATAGAGGGTGTTTCTTGTTGGGTCGATCGGCTTACCAATCTATCGGCCCAAAGTGATTTTCTCTATGTAGCCGATTGAGTCGATAGTAAAAAAAGCCGATTGGGTCGATTGATTAGTACGCCGATTAGCACCTGACTCCCAAAATAGTGAGGTAGAGTTAAAGATACAGATATATTTAATTAAAATATGACCGAAATAACAACATTCCATTTTTACGGCGCTTTTCGTCGAATTGGCGGCCCAATAGAGAACCATTGGGCCGATTGATGACAAAAAACCCATTTTTGACAGGGTTTTTATTGAACAAAAAACCAAGAAAATAAAATTAAATCTTAAAAGAAATTTTACATGTTGTAGAAAATATATCTATAATTGTTAGTTGTAACTTAGTCAAATAGTTTTTGTCAAATTATAAAAAAAAATAAGACAGTAAATTAATAATTTAAAGTATCCAAACTTAATTTATGTAATTCTTGATGTACCTTTGCAGTATGATTGATGTTTTTTATTAAAAAAAAAAACTAATAAAAAAAATAGTGCTGAAAAGCATTTGAATTTGTTAATTGTCATAGTGTAATATAAATGTGATCTTTTAACTTTAAATTATAGATAAAAAAGCGTATTGGATAGATTTTTTTTGTATTTTTAGTTAGCTGTAGAAATTTTTCGTGAACGAGACAAAAAATGCGAAAGTATAATGTGCGAAAGAGACAGATATATGTGTGTATTTATCGTCAATTAATCTTTGATCAAAAAAAAGGCCATTTGTAGCTAATTTCAGAGATTAAAAAAATATGGGAATTGAAAATTGAAAATAAGCCATTGTTTATGGTCAATTTCTCTTAATGTGATATTATTGTTCACCTAAATAAAGTTTACTTAATATTTTTTTTTATTTTTACAAAATTTCTTACGATATTTTATAATAATTTTAGCTCAAAACACCGTCCATTTGTGACTTAATAAAAATATACTTGCACTTTTTGGAATTGTAATTTTTGTTATTTATTTCTTCTTGTTCTTGTCAGCCATGAGACGCCCACTTCGGGCATAGGCCTCCCCCAAAGATCACCACGATGACCGGTCTTGTGCCACCCGCATCCAGGACGCTCTCGCAACCTTGACCAGGTCATCGGTTATTTAATTAATTTTAATCTCATTCTATAATTTTTATACAGGTAAATCTTAACATATCATAGATTAAGAAGATCGAGAGAATAGTGGAATATATTTTAGTGTTCGTATTAGGTTTAAATGTGTAAAAATTTACAACAAACAAAATACATAAATACAAACAAGTATATTAAGAAACATATTTGACATAAATCTTTTTCTCCTACAATTTTTATTCAAGCCCAGATCTCATTCCTTTTTAAAACTGCGCCTGCAATTTTATTAGCTGCAAAGCTCAAAGACATTGTTGAAACTTATTTAATGTGTTGTAAAACTGTAGTTCTAGAACTATAAGATAATTTTTTAACAGTTTTGCACTAACCGTGGGTTTCTGACGTTATATTCTCTGTATAAAACATATCGTCATATTTGTCGTTACTTTTAAACGGAGATTTTGGATTCAGAAATCCACGGTAAATCTTTTTAGTTTTAAAATATAATTTTCTAGAATAATGTTCAAATTGTATTTAAGTTAAGAGCTGTGAATATATTTGGTTGATTGTTAAAAAAAAATTTTTTGGTTATTTTTTTTTTTGCAAAGATTTTACTAGAAAACCAAACAAATATTGATATAATACTTGTAGAAGTTATTAGGTCGAAACTACGGAGTTGAAAATATTTTTGCCAAAGAGGAAAGAGATGTGTATTCAGCTAGCGTTCAACGAGTACAGACTGTCAGAATGGTTAAAAATTCAAATTACTATTAACAAAATCTTGGTTTGTGTAGGTTGTCCACTAGTGGTAAAAAAATGTTGCTCTTCACAAAATTGTAGGCGCTTAGCGCAACGGCGAATTGGCGCGAACAATACTATGTCTTTATCTCACTGTATCTAGAAATAAATATAAATGTTGTCCCACGAGCTTTGATATGTGTATTGCAATAAATGTTGTCCACAAAAGATTTTTTTGTATTTTTTTCCTGTTTTTCTTCGAAGTACTGCTGATAACCGCGGATGTTATTTGATATTAAACAAAATGGACTGTTGGAATTATTATTTCTTGATAAGTAATTATTTATAAATTTACAGGAATGTGTTAACTCTATCGCATCAGACGACCACACTGGCATGGACTCATTTCACGAATGTCTACAAGAGTACGGAGAAGGTTTAGAAGTTGTACAAATATGCTTAGAACCAGAGGAAGCATCCATCAAAGATGATGAATTATCAGCATTATGCGATCTTAGTTTTGACGAATGCAAAAGAGATCAAAAAGTAGATCATATTAGTAAAGATCAGCTAGATAAAGAAAAGATGAATGGTATAACGGAATTCAAATCTTCGAAATCTGAAGAGTCTTTAGACGAACCAGATGATGATATGACAATAACTGAAGACGATGTTTTAGTTTCTCCAAGAGAATTCAATATTAGAAGTAAATCTGCAGATAGGAAAGAAACAAATGGTAGTCGAAGTTTGTCAAAACAAAATAGCAAAGATTTGTCAACATCCGATGAGATGGTTTTCGCAGTAACACCAACAGGTTTAGAGAGAATCAGTTTCGAAAAGTATTGGAAAGATTGTGGCGAAACTACAGAAGTTTTACATAAGGTTAAAAGTGATGAAAGTTGGAAAGAGTGTTTGAATTCACCAACAGATGAAGCGAGTAGCTTTTACGATACAACAACTAGAATATCCGTCCAGGAAGAAAATAATACACTTTTATACATCGATCATGAGATAGACGGTTACGAAACATGTCTCGACGATGACTCATCGTCTGTGATGTGCGCTGAAAAAAACGGCTATAAAATCAACGGAGATCGCGAGATCAAAGATTTTAGTAAACAAAACGAAGTTCATAGAAACAAAGACAACGACGCGTGTGCCAAAACAAATACGGATCAGAATATTGGCGATGTTGTCGACGATTCGTCGTACACCAGGCCTTATGTGCAAGAGCATATTATAAAACAAATGAAATCATTGCGAATCGAACCGCTTAATGTTAATATTAGCACGAAAAAGATAAGAAAAAAAAGTCCAACAAAACCGTCCAAAAATGAACGCCGATGCATCGAATATTACAACGACCAGGATGAGTGCTTGAAGGAAATACGACAGAAAAAATTAGAAGAAGAAAAGAGACATAAAGAAGAAAGGAAGCGTACACCAAAGAAGAATATAGCAATAGAAAAGAAGATGATGTTAAAGAAACAAGAACCTAGTGAAGAATCTACTGATTTGGAGAATAATTATGTACCAGATTGTCATAAGTGTTTCTTAGAGAACTATGCGTATGCTATTACAAAAGCATATATAGCTGAAGCAACTGCTTGTAAATTTTGTGAAGTGATTAGAGAAATGTTAGAACCACCGAAAAGAATACCAGATAGAAGAATGTCAGCTCCAGCAAGTATAAGTTGGGAAAGTGGTTCAGAATCGGAAGAAGAATGTTTGTTAGCTGTTCCAGTTGTGAAGGATAGAAGGAAATCGGCTGGACCTTTAACAATTTTAACATCTCCGAGAAGATCAAGGTAAGAACTATCAAGTCTCCATACAATCTTCTTATCTTACTAATATTACAAATGCGAAAGTTTAGATTGATGGATGTTTGTAAGAAGGTATCTTAAGAACGGCTGCATGGATCTTGCTGAAATTTGGCATAGACGCTTTTTTATTCCACGCGAAACTTATTCTTGATTTATAATAATACGCAACTATGGATTACATTTTCTGGAATAACAGCCATGAAAAAAATAATAATAGCTTTTGCCCTGCCCTGGTTTAACGGATTTTGAGGAGAGAGATTTAGATTGTAGAAACAATCAGAATAATTGCTATTCTTTTGTTCATGTTGCGTTCATTGACTAATCGGCCCAATGAGAATTTTTCCTATTGGGCCGATTTCACCCTTCACCCTTATCTTTTATATTAATTACTGGCTTTGTAGATCTCAACGTGTTGACTAATTTTTAAAAATGTACGTAGATATTAGTGAAACCTTAACAGGTAAATTTTAAATACTCATTAGAGGATTTTCCGTCTGTCTTTTTATCTAATTAACTCGAAGCGTATGTATTAATGTTTGTTACGTAAGCAATGCTCACAAACAGAAGCATTT